CCCACCTGCCTTTGCCACCCTTGGCGCTGCATGCGGCAAAGTCTTCCGGGCATCGCCGTCTTTCGAGGTCGGGAATAAGCCGACCGCGCCTCATTTCCACTTACTGGCCATGCCGAAAGCCGAGCCCATGTCACCTGTCACATCCACTCCCCACTGCAGTCCACGGAAGTGCCATGCCTCGACAAAGCCAGGTGCAATCTGGGGAAAACGGGTTGGCGGAGAAACCCCTAAAGGCAAGTTCCACGGTCGTTTTCCCGCGGTTGTCAAAGAGGGGACTCACAAAAGCTCGCTATTAGATGCTCTTGGGATTCGGGGGGCCCCTATGGCGGGGCCCTTGACAACCATAGGGCGTTCAACCATCCAACAACCCACCCTAAACCAACCGTAAACCCATGGCACCTAGGGCATTGTCCCGTCCTTTGAAAATTCCTTTTGGACAACGCGGCCATGTGGCCATGTCGCCAGGCTGCGCGGGACAGCAGCAGCCAAGGCGGTGTGGTGGCGAAGTTTTACGCCGCGGCGACTCGGGCTGCGAATGGATGGAGCTGGGGTCATTTGACGGTTTCTGGGGGATAATGAGGCCAGTGGAGATACAGACGAATCGCCATGTCCTTATGGTCTAGGTCCCCTAGCTAGGTGCCCTTTCTCAGCAACTTTTTTTGTTGGGAGGGTTCCCGTACTAAAATAGACTACAGGAAAAGAAAAAAACGGGTATACCCTTATTCTAACCTCTCTACTGGAGGACCTAGGTAAAACAAAAGGGGGTGATAGGTTGCATTTGCCCACCCGCCACTTGATGTGTACCATCAAAGCCACCTGTGCCCTAGTTAACTCTAGTCAACCATCAAAACCACCATCAAACACCATCAAAGACACCTTTGCCACCACCATCAAAGCCCTCTACTGTAAACTCAGTTGCCCAAAGCCAACCTTTGGACGTTTTGGTTTTCCTGTGTTGGTCCATATTTAGTCATGGCCCTAAAAGGTGATCGCCTTTTAGTCCCAGGTCCTTTGGGCAACTGAGTAAAATTTGGTGAGCCGCTTCCAGGCCTTGTTCCTGGACGTGTGCGCCCAATTCTATGATGGGGAGCTGCCGCCGGACCTCGCGGAGAAGGCGCGCTATGCCAGGCGCGGGGGGGGGGGGGTTTGGGACTGGTTGGGTTTGGGGATGTTAGGAGCCCTTGGGTCAGTGGGTTGACGGGGGGCTGGGGGGGGGGGGGGGAGTTGGGGGGTCAGGGGGGGGGGGGCAAGCCTGAGCTGAGGGGGTGCGAGTATACCATGACGCAGGTCAACCAAGGGATAACTTAGGGGCCATCGCTGAGCCGGGCTCGCACGTCAGACAGAGACACAGACACAGCGACACACCATGAAGCTGCCGATTTGGCTTGCCAAAGGCTTTCTTTTGCATGGCTCAGTTTTGGGCCGGCGCTTGGCGCTTGTTCTTTCGTCCGGGTGGCGCTTTCGTTCAATTCGCCTGCCCATCTTGTTTCTTGCTTCGCCCCCGCCCCCCCCCCCCGGCCGACGTCAGGTTCCGGGTGGTGCAGATCCGCGAGGGCCTGAAGTCCGGCAGCCTCTCCTTCCCCGAGGCCCAGGCGGCGAGCTCGGCCCAGACTGCACCCGTGGCGGCGGCAATGGCACCGGTCGCAGCCTCGGGCGTGGCGAAGAGTGCGACGGCTGCTCGGCTTTGGACGGGTGATGATGGGCGTCAGGGGGTAAGGTTGCCACTTCTTGTGGTTCCGAGTTGCGGCTCTGTTCCAGTTGAAGTGCTCAAGTAGTCGTTGGGATGGGAAGCACTTCCCTACCCCCTAAAAATGCAAATAGACTTGAGTGAATTCGGCCTCCAACTAACCCCCCCCCGCCAACCCCCACCCCCCCCCAACTCCCCCCCCCCCCCCTCCATCGCTGAAAATGCGCCGCGCACGCCACGCCTTGCCACGGTCGAGGCCGGCGGCCGCACGGAGGCGAAGGCGCAACTGGAGCTTGCCAGCTCCGCCCTGGACTTCAACGATGCCCCGACCGCCAGGAAGTGCCTCCAGGCGGGGTCGGCGGGCTCCACGGAAGCGACCAAGAAACGCCCCACCAAGCCGTGGCTCCTTGGTTGCTTTTTTCTCGATCCAAAAAGCATGTTCCCCCCCCCAAAAAAAAAACAGATTTAACTAATAATAATAATAATAATACTAATAATAATAATTGTAATAATAGCAATAATAATAATAATACTTTTCTTTTGGTTGGTGGCTTTTTAGCCATCCGGTGCAACTTAGCTTTTAGTGTGGCGTGCTTTTCCCCCGCTGTGTTCTTAAATACGGAATTGGGGGAGGGGGATGACCCCTGGAATTCCATCTATGGTCGACAAAAAAGCGCCAAACAAACGCCGTGGTTGTTCGTTTGTGTTTCTCCCTTCTGGGGTTGACACCTCATGGCCCCAATCGGGATCCCGATTTCAGCCAGGAGGCGCTTCGGCATTTGGGCTGACCGGGTGAGAGTCTGAGGGCAAGCGAGCGAGCCGCAGTGGAAAGTCTTGGCATTCGCCGATGTGTGCTTGCTCCCTGAAGGCCATCCGGTTCCTGAGGTTTCAGTTGTTTTGGGTTGTTTTGAGTTGGTTGTGTTGGTCGTTTTACTTGTTTTTGGTTGTCTATGGTTGGGTTAGTGATTGGTGTTGTTGGTTCTTTGTCTAGGTCCCCCAGCTAGGTCCCTTTCACACCGTTTCTTTCTTGGTTGGGAGATTCGGTTCCCCTGCTAAAAGTAGACTACAGCAAAAGTTGGTACCAACTTTTTCTAAGCTCTCTGGAGGACCTAGATGCAGTTTCTGCATCCCTGAGGTTGTAGCGACAACACCCCACTTTCCCGGAAGCTAGACACTCGCCCCTGAGCAAAGCAGCGCTTGAATACTGCATTTAGTTGGGTTGGGAGATTCGGTTCCCCTACTAAAATAGACAAAACCGAAAACAAAAAACTGGTACCCATATTCTAAGCTCTCAGGACCTGGTCGTAGCTGGTTTTGTGCAGAGCCTGGTGGTTCAGAAGGGCCCCTTCGGCCGGCCAGCGGCCAGCTGGGAGTAGCAGACTCACGCCGGCTTGGGCAGGTGTCAAGGGAAGGGCCCTGTTTTAGACCCCAGTTGTTCAAAGCGAATCGACCGGATCTGACCTTCTTGGTTTTCCCTCTTTGGTCTATTTTTAGTAGAGGTCCCAAAAGGTTAACCTTTTATAAACAGGTCCTTTGGGCAACTAAGCCCCACATTCGCTATGGGCCAAGAGGGGTATAATTTTTGGGTCAAAGATGAAACCTCCGGTTTTTAGTCCATGTTTCCGTTTGCCAGGGGTTGTTTCACTCCCTCCCACTAACATGACACCTGACAGAAGGTCCGTTGAAAAGGACATGGATCTTCCAAGTACCCTCCCACAGATGCTATGTTAGTGGGAGGAAGGCTACCCTATTTTTGTACCCACACCCAGATGAAGCCGGGGATCATGGGACCTGCAATTGGGCAACCACACTCCGAAGGGCTCCGAGCTGCCAGTCATTTCCTTGGTCTCACCGACGCGTTTTGCACAGAACGGCGAGCGGAGCAAAACACGGCGTCCACGAGTCCAGGAGTCCCGAGCCGCGAGTCGCCAGATTTTCGCAGGGAAGCTGCAGTTAAGGTCAGCTTCTCACGTGTGATTTTTTTGTGACAATATGTGACAATGATGGATCCTTGCTTAGGTCAGGGCGTGCATAGGACAAAGCACTCAGAACCAAGCACAATCCGTGGAGCAACTACAATTAAACTAAACCAAGAGCAACACCTAAAACTACCATGCTGTTTCTCCGCCTGGGTTTTTGGACCAACTTTCCCTTTGCGGGGCAACAGCTTGCCAGGGCCCCGACAAGGCCCCCTAGTTTTGACACCTCCAGATCCCTGCAGTTTTTCTTGTGATGAGAAATTGGGGGGCTTTGGAAGGTCCGGATTCTGACACGGGGGTGAACGCGAATCCGCCACACTGGTACACTACACGGTTCCTTCTTTTGATAATTCACGGCCATTGTGAATGTGGTATATTTTCATACAGTTGCTCACTCCCTGAGTTCAGGGACTTTAAGCTGTTTGGGAAGGCCATTATGTGGCAAATGCAATAAGCTGTTTGGGAAGGCCATTATGTGGCAAAATAAAAGTTCATATTTTTTTGGCCAGTCCATTCAGGAAGTAAGTTTAATAAGTTTAAGTGCTTTAGAGGAGCTCGCGAATATGAATTTTGTGATGTTGGGGGTGCATTCTGTTCGGGAGAGTGGCCAGCAACTAACGGCCGTAGTTGGTCGGTGCTGATACGCTTTTTTTTGATGAGCCAAAAGTCGATGCAAATTGGCTTGCTTGCAACAGGGAGTGAACCGCTCCATAGCTAGGCCTGCCTCAGCGCAACTAGCTCGGCTTGAAATGCGTGGTAGCATGATGTGGCATGCCTTGCGGGGCCATGACTTGCACAAGATAGGTGCTTCAACATGAAGCACTTTGGCATTTCAATGCAGAAGCATTTCTGCAACAGCTCTGAGGCATTTCAGAGCATGAAGACTCATTCTGGGGCTCGCACTGGACAAGAAACCATAGGAAAGTCTCTGGATTCGAATGCCAGTTACAGGACGGTTTAACGCCGCAGAGTGGGGAGACCGTCGCTCACAGGTTACAGGTTACTTGGAGGTTACAGGTTTGTCACGTTCTTTTTTTTTCTCCTTGCTCGCCTTAAAGCATACATTAGCGCCAGTTGTAGGAGCACATGTTTGTTTACCAGCTTTAGATGATCGCCCGTTTTCTTAAGCAGGCGGTTAGTAAAGCACCGTGTTTTTTTTTCAAACCTGCTTTAGTTTATCCCCCTTAGGCATGTGGTTATTAAAGCACCACCTCTTTACCAGCTTTAGATGATGCCCCTTAGCAGGTGGTTAAGCACCACTTCTTTAACTGCTGATTTCTAGACGATCCCCCGAAGCAGGTGGTTTTGGATGCATTCCAACCCCCCGATCTGAGGCGAGTCGGACACCGGCTCCGGCCTGGATCCGAGCGGCACCTGGCGATGGCCCCGGATGCTCGGAGGTGCTTCCAGAATTGGGGTGTCCGGACTGGAACTCGCTTCCTGAGTTCCGCGGACTTCAAACTTCTTGGGTTTGGACCGTTGTGGCAACATGAGGTTACAAAAAGCCACTTTAGCCCCTGAAGTCCTGGAATTTAGGCACTTTCTGGGTTTGGACCATTTTTAGTGGTAAATAAACAAGAAAAATCCGGCTTTTTGTGGCCAATCAACTCCGGTGATTGTCTGCCGCTTGCTGAAACGAATGCTTTCCCACTAATTCACATGGAATCGGGGGGGGTCCTGGAAGACAGTTTCCTTTATAGAGGCACTCCGTGTCATGTTCCAGGTTCATGGGTGGGAGGAGGGTATTTTGGTTCGTTGTTTTCCCCGGTTGGTCTTAATGGGAATCGATTTCACCACTTTTCAATCATGTCCAGGCGGCGAAAAAGCAAATGGAAGTGTTTGTCTGCTTTGGCCTTTGGGTGTTAAAAATTGTCGTTGTTTTTTTTGGCTTTTAAACGAGTGTTAGAAATGTGTTTGGCGGCTGGGTTGGGACTGGCGGATTGGATTGTGCACGGCTTGTCAACATGTGAAACTGATGGCTTCAGTGCCGGGGCAATGGCCCAAACCGCCGCAAAGGGCTGGGCTGGTATTGAGTGGCCTCTCGAGACACATGCAGCATCTCAACAAGATCTCAACGGCGCGTGATGGCGCGTGTCTGCAAAAAAACATGCGGCATCACGGGATCACCGGGGCTTTGAAGCAACGGACCTCGTTTTGGTTTAGAGGTGTGAGCATGTCAAGAGTGCCATCTAACTCGCTGTTCTGCGGCACGCTTGCTCCCCTTTCACTTCACAAAATCGCCATTCCCAACAGAGCCGGTTTGGGAATCTCCAAATCACCAAAAAATCGTCCAACAAATCACAAATCGCCCAAAATTCACCCAAAAAAAAACACAAATCGACCAAAAAATTCTCCGAATCTGCCTCCCGTTTGGGCCACTGCGCAAATGGAGACGCCTGCCTGTCCCTCGGCGTCGTCGATCGATCCCAGGCTGCGGCAGCACGGCCACTTCTCCGAGGGCCTGGGCCCGGTGAAGGGCAAGAAGGCCACTCCGCAGACCGACCGCTCGGCCGGGCGGTCGCTCGGGGTGGTTGATGATTTTTTTTTGGTGTTTGTTTTCTTCTTTTGGTGTCTCTTCATAGGGTTTAGGGTTTAGGGTTTAGGGTTTAGTTTGTTTTCTTTTTTTTGGGGGGGGTGTTTCTTGATAGGGGGAACGTCACCGAATGGATGCGGGTATAAAAAGTTGTGTTTGTGTTCGGTCATGTTTTGGGCTCACTTCCCTTCAAAGTGCCGCAACCTGTGTTAGTTTCTCACCTTTTTTCTCATAGGCCTCGTGGTCACAGGGTTCCTTACATTTGCGCGTAAAAATGTCAGCCCTACCGCACATATGTGAGTTTGAACACCGAACAAGGGCTGCTCGAAGCGGTGTCGACCCAGGTTCCCGAGGTTTTTCGGGTTCAGTTGCAAAGAACGGCCACAGGTCACCCTCATGGACCTCTTCTACACACAAGAGGCCCGGCGGCTATGCAGAAGCTCGCCTGGGGGGGGGTGCGCGTACTCGTGATAGTTTTCCCTTTGACACGGAAAGCAAGGATATGTACCACTTAATGTTGACCCCATATTAGTCAACCCCAGTTTTTTCATGAAGGGGGGTGTTCCCCATGATTCCCCACTCAACTCAGGGACCCCTTCTATTTTATAAACTGGGGTTGATGAACATGGGGTCAACATTGCATGGTAGCTGTACGGTGGCTGTGCATGCCGTGACCCCCCTGGAGGTAGCCTCGGTTTGGGTGTGTTAGCGCCTTGTGCGCAGAGGCACGCATGCCTAACAGTCAACATGCCTGACAGTTAATATCCCAGATAGGGTTGCAAGTTGTAAAAAAAGTAAGTTCTACAAAGTGTGGGCATGGGTATTGCTGACACAGGTTGTTGTTTGGTTGCCTGGTGGCACTTTCTGAGGAAAGTTTCTAGGTCCCCCAGTAGTGCCCTTTTAGCTTTGTTTGGGGGAGGGTTCCCCTACGGAAATAGACTACAGAAACAAGGGACCCTTATTCTAACATCTCTACTGGAGGACCTAGTCGAGCTTCACCCCACAAATATTATGTTTAACACATCACTGGCGGGCGCGAGCCCGCGCTTTCTTTGGGATGGTGATGTTTTTCATGGCACCGGACCCATGTGAAGGACGAGGAGCTCTACACCACTGCGAAGCCGGCATATGAAAATCAGGCGCCAAATGAGTCGAAGGGTGAGGCTTATCAGAGAACTAGTACATCAAATGTCTCCAGGATGTCAATTTTGCTAAAGAGCGATCCTGCGAAGATTCTGGTTAACAACGCTAATGTTGCGCATGCCTGTTTCCACTGAAAAACCTCTACCGCCCCCAAGTTTGCCCACTTACCAGTCAAGCAATGTGGCCCTATGGTCAGACAGTTTCAAGGCTGTGCATGGCCGGCAGTCCTGGACTGGTCCCCGTTTCGGTTTCATGGCTTGCAATTGAATCGAACGAAGTGCAACATGGGGTCCGGCATCCTTGTTGCCCACTTCTAACCAAAGGACTTGCACAGACCACCCTGCTTCCAACCAAAGCGACAGTCCCGGGAGTGCGACCTTTAAGGGGGAAATCTGACTGTCCTAGAAGGTGATTCCCTTTCTTTTCAACCATCGTTCTTTTCAAAACCCAGCCGTTTCCCCTGGGAGTTTGATTTTTTTAAATGAAAATAAGGATCCCTGGAAAGAATGGAAATGGAAGGTACCCCTAGGTACCCTTTTTTTGGGGCGGGTTCCCTGCTAAAGTAGACTGCGGAAAAAAGTTGGCACCCTTATTCTATCCTCTCTACTGGAGGACCTAGTTTAATAGGGCTCCTTAAAGGATCTCCATTTTGCAACCATTTGAAACATGGCTTTTCCACCAAAATAAATGGACGCCACCATTTGCAAGTTGCAATGTTCAGGTGTAAAATGCATCCGGATCCCTGTTTCAGAGGGAAATCTGCCCGTTAAAATCCTGGGGCCCGGTCTTCCGTCCACGTGTGACTCCGTGACTTGACTTCCTGAGAGGCGCTGCGGGCCGCGCTGCTGTCCTCTCGCAAGGCTCAGCCCGCTTCGGGGTAAACCCGACCGCAAATGGGTTTAGGTGCCGCACGGCTCGTTCGGGGCGTGGCCAATCCTCAAACGAGTTTTGTTGGTTTAGTGGAAAACCCCAAATGTTTTGAGGCTTTGTTGTAGGGGTTGATTGTCCTTTTCCATTCTTTTCAACCATCGTTCTTTTCAAAAGCCGATCGCTGTTTGTCCCAGGGTTGTGGGTGGTGTTTTTAGAATGAAGGATGCCTGGAAAGAATGGCACCTGACAGGGTGTCCCTTCAAGAGGAAATGTATCTTCCAGGTACCCTCCCACAGGAGCTATGTTAGTGGAAGGAAAGGTATAGGTGCCCATGCTTTTTCAGACAGAGCCTACCTTTCAATCGGCAAGTCCAAGGCGATGTCTACGCGTTTCTGTGGATGTGTCTTTTAGCCGAATTGTTATAGAATTGTTAGTAATGTTGCTACCTTTCATTGTTCAAGGGCTCGAAACACGGTCCTAGATTTTATTGATTGCCCCCCAAGTGTCAGATTGTGAAGACATGGCGTGGCTCCAACTCAATCGCTGCACGGGAGAAGAAATCGGCCTTTTGCCCGTTTGCTTTGAGGTTGTCCGGAGGTTGGGTGCCATAGGTGTCCTTTTCAGGTGAGCCTGGTTAAAAATAGTTGGCACTGGTTTAGATGGGTCTTGTCCCATTTACCAGGGACCCATTTTTTCCAAGAGGCCACCTATGTTGGGAGCCCTAATTGCCACAGTGTCTTTTGTTTGGGTTGTGGGTCCCAAGAAGGCGCCGGGTTGCACCCAGGCCACCCGCAGTACGCGGCTTCTGGGCCAGCCCTGTGGCCCCATGGCGGGATACCCGGAAAATCTCGGACGCGGCTTGGGGGGGCCTCAAGGGGAGGGCCTGAAGCGGCCGACTGACTATTTTCTTTGTACCTCTAGGTCCCCCAGCGATTGGTGCCCGACCTCTCACCCAGCTTTTTTTTGGTTGAGAGATTCGGTTCCCCTACTAAAATTGACTGAAGAAAAAAGTTGGCACCCTTATTCTAACCTCTCTACTGGAGGACCCAGTTGATTATTTTGTTTGGACCTGCTGGCTAAATCACCCCTTATGGGCGAGGGGTCGTTTATGGTACTCGAAGGGAAGACTAGAAGAATGGAATTGCCCCCCCCCCCCCCCCAATGTCGTATGCGGCAGCCTTTCACATCTATCGAGATAGCCAAACCACTATCCGCAAGGGATATTCGCTATCCGCAAAGGATATTAGAGAATTGCACCACTATTTTATAGTGTCCCCTTGGTCCACAAGGGATAGGCGGCTGCCAGCAGAAATACAACCCAAGAACAAGAGGTGCCGCGAGACAACAGAAGAAAGCTTGCAATGGGTATCCTTCGACCTGGCCGATGCTCCTGCATAGCAAACGATGACTCCTTTGCATCTGGCAATCAAAGCGGAAGTGCCTCACTGCTAATTTGCACCTTGTCACGAAAGTTCCGAAAGCTAGATGTGCTAGCTTTCGGGAGTTCTCTAACAAGCTTGAGCTCCCCACAAACATCAAAAGGCGCCATGACTCAGTGGCCCAAAGCCAACCTTTTGACCTTTTGGTTTTCCTGTTTTGGTCCATATTTAGTCATGGCCCCAAAAGGTTAACCTTTTAGTCCCAGGTCCTTTATTTAACCAACTGAGATGAGACACACAGACCCGCTGGGCTCACCGGACCTGAGGTGGGTTGGGACTCCCAGGCGCGGACGGAAACGGGGACGTGTGAGGTACCCCATGTCGTTTTCTCGGGGTAGTTAGCAACGGAGATCTTGTGGATTCTTGCCAATAGGTTCAACCCCGGCTTTTTTGTTTCCAGATGGTCTGCTGAGGTTTATTCGGTTTCAGTGTTTTTTTTAGGAGCTTGTCTGTTGTCGTTGTCAATTCTCGAAAGGTTGTTTGGTGCTTTGGCCGGATCATCAACAGGTCATACGTGGCTTCAAAAACAGTGCCGGCAGGTTCATATGGAGTGCAATGGGTGGAGTTCCAATGATCTTTGGATCCTTTGGTTGTCATTGCAAGCGAAAGTCGAGTACATTGACCTTCCGCGGGATTGCTGCCACCTCAGGAAGCGACCTCGATTGCGAAAACGCGACCTCACCTTTTATGTGTGTTCATTTCTGTCATGTTTCAGCCCTCTCGTTTCAGGTGCGTGAACAACAGTAGCTTGACTGCTATTGGGTTGGATCTTTTAACTGTTTGGGAAATCAAGGAGTTTTCCGAACTAAACCCACAAACAATTGTTCACTTTTTGCAGAGGGGTCAACAGCAACAAAGGTAGCTTCCCAGACTTCGGGATGGGCGCCTCCAGCCCTCCAGGCAGAGGAGCTGTCACCGGAGGCCGTTCAGGAGAGCGCGCGGCGTTTTGCCATTCTGGGTCCCCCAGCGAGGTGCCCTACCCCTTTTTGGGTTGGGAGGGTCCCCCTACTAAAGAAGCAAGACTGAACAAAGGGTACCCAATTCTATTGGGTTGGGAAATTCGGTTCCCCTACTAAAGAAGACAACAAAAAAAGCTGGTACCCTTATTCTATCCTCTCTACTGGAGGACCTAGTATTGGCCGAGCCCTCTAGTTGTTGGGAAATGCCTTATGCAAACATCGAGCTCTGGAGAGAGCGCCAGCTTGCAGCTGACGCTTTTGTTGGGCCGGCTGGTGGCATTTCATGTGCTCATCGCTCAAGCTTGCCAATCCGCACATGCCTGCTGGCGTTTGTCCGAGCGCTGATCTGATTTTTGTGTTTCTCCCGGCCTTGCTCCCTCACTCATGTTTGTAGATTCAGGGGAACATCGCAGCAGTTAATAGTCGCTCAGTCAACGGCACACCTTGCCCCCCAAATCCAGAACTGCCAGCGTCACAGCTCTGTGCGAGAAACCTAAAGCATGCCAATGTTTCGGGAAGATTCGCAGGGGGCCGCAAAAAAGAGGCTTCCCATTGCAAGGGACCGCGAGATTGCATGAAGCTCTGCCAGCCGGGAGGCATTTGCAAAAGGGGAATCCCGCGTTTTCTTCTGGTCCTTTTTGGAACTTAGGGAGCCCTTAGTGTAGAACATCTCTTTTGTTGAGCCGCGTCGTTCTGCAAAAGGAAAGGCGACCAACAACAGCACGACCCGCATGTCCCGCAGAAAGGGGGTGTTGACCATGGCGAATGCCACATTTGGATGTTTGGTATGAACATCCACCAGCAAATCCCAGGCTAGCATTTGGAGTCTGGAGTCAGGCGGCAGGGTGAGAGGCCAGAAGGCCAGAATTACAGGCTTCGGTTCCCGGTTTGAGTCCAATGTGGCGAAAATTCGGTCAGTCCCACTCCGTCCCACTTCAGACTCCCACCTTAAAAGGACACCTGAGCCACAACCAGGGGAGATGAAGGTTGGCAAGGGACAATCCCCTTGCCATAAGTAGCTGCGGAAACACGGCTTCTTAATTCCTGAAGCGTGGCTCTGGGTAGACCATTCGGGTATGGGTCAAAATTCAACCACCAGGGGACCGCTGGTTTTAGTCTTTGTTGCCATTTACCAGGGTTCCATTCTGGGTACCCATTTTTGACCCAAAGACCATTTTTGTACCGGGTTTTGATTGTGACTCACCTATGATCAGACACCCGGCTATATGAGGAGCGGCTGCGGGCTGCAAGGCAATGGGTGCTGCAGTCGCGGGAGGGGTAACTCTTGGGAACCCCTGTGCCATACTGTGCCTAAGATGTTCCTTTCATGCTGGGCATTGGGGCCACTGTTCCGGAGATGTTCTTTTTGTATTCAGCGTTGAGGACTACTCCAGAGATCTGCGTTTGAGACTCCGGGCCTTTTCCTCTGACTCTGTTCGTGTTTTGGTTTGAAGTCCTGGGCCTGTGCTGGCTCTGGTTCTTGTCAGGGGGCATTCTAGACAAACAACGAATGTAGGAACAACGTGCGGGGCAGGGGGGGGGGGCAGTTTGAACATCAGCGCGAGTCTCACAAACAGCCGTGAGAGACAAGAAATGTAGTATATCAAGGCGTGGCGGTTCTTGGGCGAGGGCTGAAATGCCAAGACGGGTGCTTCATTTTGGCAAGAAGTCAGATGATGGCCCCGGCAACGTGCTCTGGGAGGTCAGGCACGCATGTGAGGTTGTGATGGCTGAAGGCCATTTCCAAGCTCAAGTGCAAGTCCTTGTCTCGGTTGGCGCTGACATGGAATTGGTACCCTTTGACTGGGTGGCCCATAGGGCCCCTCTTTGGACACCCCCGCGGCATTTGCAATCCCAAACCTGTTGCTTGACTTGTTTTGAAAGGCAAAGCATGTTTTTTTACCATCACATCTAGGTACGGGGTCAAAGTTAAACCACCAGGAATTGGACCACAGGTTTTAGTCCATGTTTTCATCCAGGGCGATGCGGCCATGTGGGTACCAAATTTTTTTGAATCCCAGGCCATCCATCCATTTGGCTGGAAGTGGCCCTCCTTTGGCCAGGCAAGGCACTGCCGCCAAGCTGAGGTGCACTGAGTGCACTGGGGCCCGAATTCCGCATGCCACAAGCAAAACCTGGGCAGGTCATTGGTCCGGATGTATCCTGTTTTTATTGTTTGCCATTGTTTTTGTTCCTGCTTTAGGTTCCTTTCATATCAATTTTGTTGTTACATTAGGGCTTCTGACTCCTGTGTCTTTTCGCTCCGCTTCCTGCCTTGCGCCGCTTCGTGGCTTGCAAACATCTACCTAGCAACTGTGGACAGGTCGGGTGTTGCAAGCTCTTTGCCCGGCTACAGCTAGCCAAGTGAGCCGATGGTGGGATCAAATCCCTGGAAATGCACGTCTAAAACAGAACAAACAACCAGCAATTGGAAGAGCTGGGGCTCTTCTTTGGCCGCTGAATTGCGCATTGAGCCTTAACAAAAGGAATCTGGGGATGGCTTCTTGTTCAATTTGTTTAAAGCCCACCCTAGTTGACACCGGATATGTTCAATGAATTTGCCAGGAGGAATGCTTCCTGAACTGTGTCAAAACGTCCGAAGCCACGAGCGATCATGCCGAGAGAGCTTCGGGGTACTTTTGGGATTCCCAATCTTAGCACAGGGGTGCAGTCATGTCCTTGGCCCCCGGAACTTCGTATCGAGGGTCCTTCGATGTTTCTGGCTGATCTGAAAGCCCCCGCATGGAAACGTTTTGAGGTCACGTGCCAGATCCCTGCAAGGGCCCGAGGTTCCCGGCAGAGATTTGAACCATCCGCTAGGTGATCGTCTCGGACATTTGGAATGGGCAGAACCAAGCCGAGACCCAGTGGCATCTATCCAAATTCGCCGACAGATCGAACCTTTGCCAGGTCCTGACCCGACTCACTGATGTCTCGCGGCTTTCGCTCGAGGAGCTTAGGGTGGGAAGTTCCACGAGCCGTTTCCGGTGCATAGTAGTACGCACGTATATATATATATATATATATATTTAGATGTTCACGCTGATGCATTTACCCAGGCACACCCCTGTTGCTAAAGTGCAGGTGAAGACAACTTATCGTTTCCGCGACACTGTGAAAGACCTCTTGTTGTTTCTTGTGGCTGAAATTTTTGTGTGTGTGCGTGTGTGTGTGCGTGTGTGTGTGTGTGTGTCTCTGTGTCTCTGTGTCTCTGTGTCTCTGTGTCTCTGTGTCTCTGTGTCTCTGTGTCTCTGTCTCTCTGTGTCTCTCTCTGTGTCTCTGTGTCTCTGTGTCTCTCTCTGTGTCACTGTGTCTCTGTGTCTCTGTGTCTCTGTGTCTCTGTGTCTCTGTGTCTCTGCGTCTCTGTGTCTCTGTGTCTCTGTGTGTCTGTGTGTTTGTGTGTCTGTGTGTCTGTGTGTCTGTGTGTCTGTGTGTCTGTGTGTCTGTGTGTCTGTGTCTGTGTTTGTGTGTTCCTTTGTGTGCGGTTGCCAAGGGGGCGGGGCCTTGAACAGTAAACCCAAACGCCGAAAAGCCATGTAGAGGGTCCTGACCAATATCGGACATGCTGTGTACTAGTCGCACCTTGGCACCCCAGACATTGCCCAATTATTTGGAAGTGTGAAGACACAGGGATCAACCTCACACCCAACTGAGAGCTCACACAAACTGAGAAGGCAAAGCAATTGGGGTCACCATGCGCACGCATGGTTCGGAGTAAATGGTTGTGTCTACTGATCTAACTGGGTCGTGACACTTGTTTTGCAAGGGCGTATGCCAGAGTTCCAGCGCAACTGACCGAGCACAGCGCCAGGAGCATGCAGTTTGACACCCCATCCCCGCTTCAAACTTCACATTATTTGCCAGCCAGAGGGGCTGCATGAAGATGGACAAAGCCATGTCCGGCATGAACCATGTGCTGACCCGGCCTATATGGGATGAGTGTCTTGCGCCTGCGTGCATGTCCATCGCATTCGGCGATGTTTCGGTTTGCCAGCTGGAGAGGGGTGGATTCAAAATCAGTTGGGCAGGACCAGGGACAAGAAGGCGCGCGCCCTCAAGGCGCAGCCGCGTCTCGCTGATGTTGCGGGCGGTTGAGCTACGAGCAAGCGGTTGCATGGGTTGAAGCATTCTACGGGTTGAGTGTGCCAATTTCCTTGGGAGGGCGCTGTAAGCCTTCAGGAAATTTTATGGATGGGGAGGGATGTGTGCGACCAGAGGTGCCTTCGCGGATGTCATGGGCAGGCGTCCGATGTTTGGCCGGGCTGTGTAAAGGCAATCCTGGATACCCCTTCCCTTTGGGCTCTGAAAGGGGCACTTGTGCTTCTCCAGTAGCGGTTGCGGATGAGATTTGCCGACCCCATTGTGAATAGGTCTTAGAAGGTCACCATTGCATGGGTTTCAGGTTCTGTTTTGTGGAACCAAACCATTTGTACGGGGGACGCCTTTGGTGTTGAGGAAATCTGAAGTAGCCAAACTTGCCAAACCATTTCTCGAAACGGTTGGGGGACGCACCTATTCATCGCATCCTCTTACTCAGTTAGGGTGTTGGCGAGACTTTCGCGTACTGCTCGCTCTTCGTTTTTGGCTCAAGGCTTCGGCTTCAGCGGCAATCTCGTTCCATCCCAAGCGCCTTTGTTTCGGCAATGCCTACGGAACATTGAGATCTTCTTCCTCTTTTTCTTCGAGTACGGCAACTCCCCTCTTTTTTCAGAACCGGTGGCCGTGTTTTCGGTTCCGGTGCAAACCCCAGGTCTCCCCTTTTGTTTGCAGATCTCTCGGCTCTCCTCAGCACAGCTCTCCGCTCTCCGCTCGCTCCGATCGGCGCGGCGATCGCGGGCGGCTGGCGGCTGGGCCGGGGACCCCATGGGCCGAAGAAGCCGCGCCGATGCGCTGGGCTGAAGTGGGAGGTTGCCGGTTTCTGTGAGCAACCCATGGCTCATGTCATATCACAGAAACAAGTTGTTGTTGGGAAACATGTTGCTTGTTTTTGCTTATTGTGGTCTAGTGGTTGAAATCCCCACCTAAGTGCCAAGAGTTGAATCTTTGCTCCCCTTCCAACGTCAACCAAGTTCTGTGATTAACCGATTGCTCATGTCACAAGAGTGGATCCTCTATCAATGAAAAGTCTTAGGGGATCCCTTGTTAAGGGTTTTGGGCATCTGGAAGTTTTTGGTTTCTCCTTTTTTCCCCTTTTTGTTTGTTTGTTCCTTTTTACGTACCCTCCCACCAATCAACAACCGGAACCTGACGGGGAAATGCTCCCTTTCAAAAGGAAAATGGTCCAAACCAGAACCCCCGAATCGGGGCCCTAGACTTCCAAAGTCCATGATTTTTTTATGGCCGAGGTGGCAAAGTACATTTCTTGGGAAAAGGCACTTGTTCAGTGGCCCCCAATTATTTTCCCTTTTTTTTGGTGGCTGCTCACTAAAATGGTCCAAGCCCAAAAAAGGGTTCCCTCTTTTTTTCCAGGGTCACTGAACAACTGAGGAAAAGGCATTTGTTGGATGGTTTGGGAAGGGGGTTCATGTTTTCCCGGTGGATTGGTCCAATGCAGGCTCCACGTGAAGCCAAAACAAGTGCAAAAAGAACGGCTGCGAAACAGATCCGCAACAATTGCTGCGAAGCAGGGTACTTGCTCCGGTTCTTCTAAGCGAATTCGTGCTCGCTTCGAATTCGAATCGCGTTTTGTAGAACACGAATTCGGATGCTTCGGCTGGTTGCGAGTTGAGACATTTGCGTATCAGGTTGTTGACTTCCATTCGCTGAAAAAAATGTTTATTTTCCGTGTTGGCTTTAAATGGGGATCTATCGCTGACATTTGCATGCCGTTACTTTGCAGAGGGTTGATTTCATGGTTGCGCTCAAGCCTTGCCTTCGGAGCAGGTATCCCCGCGCAAAAAGCAAAAAGAACTGGCTGATGTGCATGGTCCCCTTACTTAGCCACTTCCAGTGGCACCGTTCCTTTCTTGTTGCCCACCCCCTTAAAATTGATTTGGGGGGGGGGCTGGAATTGGGAACCCAGCTTTCCAAAAATGGAATTGGGGACCTAGGTCGGCGAGGATCCTTTTTGGTGAGTTGCCCAGAAATTGGGTTTCCCCCCAAACAAACCGGTTCCTTTTGGTACCAGGGTCAGTGGCCCCTGGGTGCAGGTCGGCTCTTTGGAACATCCTCATGAAGCCGGCAGCACATCCGGCGCCGCGGACTTTTTTCCTCCCGATGGATGGCGTTTTGGGGGTAGACCGAGGATACATTTTGCAAGTTTTGGCAGTGACTCCAAGTGAAGCAAGCAATAAAATACATATTCTATAACTGGGCCTAACTCGAATTAATGGGCAGGTTTGTCGAGGGGAATAATTCACGTCCCAGTTGGGATACATTTGGTGAGAATAAAATCCTTAGCTCAGCCTCAGGTAAACCCCGGCTAGGCGTGAAGGCGGGAGCCGGGTCAAAGAAGGGCACCGAGAAAACAAATCCCCCAATGGCTGTGTCTCAGGTAGGCATTGGCTTGCCGCTGACGAATGAGCTACCGCTCTGTTAGTGCCTCTTTTGCGCATTCCTGATCTGGGACGAGCGAGACCTGCTCGATGCCGGAGAGAGAGAGAGAGAGAGAGAATGGCTGTGTCTTAAAATCGCCCCTCGAACAGGCCGTGTTATTTTTTCCGGTTTCCCTTTGCAACCAACCCCAAAAATGGTACCCAGCAAAACTCACTTTTTGAGTTTGCGGACATTCAAGCGGCAAATCACAAACAAGAGTGCGGTTCCTTTTTTGGCCACTCCATTTGTTTGGTTGTTCGGAAGCGAGATAAAACGTCACCCTTCACAAGCAACCCCAAGAATAACACCCAGAGAAATAGATTTAAACAAGAATAAAAAAAACAAAAAAACACATAAAACGTAGGTTTTTAAGGACCAGCGAATCCAGAGGCTCTTCCGGGCAAAAAAGAAAGGCTCAGCGCCCCAGGCCTCCGATCTTTTGGCCCTGCTCCAAGAGCACCAGGCGCGGCGTGCGGAGTTCCTACCCGGGGGAACAACCGGAAACCGAGCCGTGGGTTGATTGCTTTCTCGCGCGCGTGGGTTGGTTTTTTGCGTTTTTGTTTTTTGTTTGTTTCTTTTTGTTTAGGTTGGGGGTAGGGTGGGCGCAGGTGGGTTGGTCTTTTTTTTCGTAGTTGCGCGTGGGTGAGTTTTTGGTGTGCGGGCGGGGGTGGGGGGGCAGGTGGGGCAGGTGGGGCAGGTGGGGCAGGTGGGGCAGGTGGGGCAGGTGGGGCAGGTGGGGCAGGTGGGGCAGGTGGGGCAGGTGGGTTGATCTTTTTCCGTACACAGTATTTGCGCGTGGGTTAGTTTTTTGGGGTTTGGGTGGGGAAAGGGGCAGGGGGTGCATTGGTTTGGACTTGTCTTGGGTTTCGCGGATTGACACGGGTTTACACTGGTTGATTAGGGTTTGCAGAATATGTTAGGCTTGAGACACGTTCAATGATTGTCAGAAGGCAGCTGAGCTTTAGAACCATCCCAGCGGGCTTCTCCTTCAACTTGACCACAAAAAAGACAGGGGTCAGCTGAGCTTTAGAACCATCCCAGCGGGCTTCTCCTTCAACTTGACCACAAAAAATACAGGGGTCCCTATATTTCCCTGTTTGGCTAAGGTGAGTATCCCTTGGTGGGGGTGATGTTTTAAGGGGAAATATAGCCCTGAAAGAAGTCAATCAAAGGGGAATCGCGCCTCGGGCGGTCACTCATTGTTGTTATTCCCAGGCATATGTGCCAAGCAATCGGCCTGCTGCACTGCTGTGCTTCCGCGATCATATGGGCTGCTCTAGGTCAAACACATTTCTTTGTCAAATGGGGGTCGACAGCTGATTATCTTCAAGGCTTTTCCAAGCATATGTGGCCACTCACCCGCTTTTTAGAAGTTGAGAGAGACTTACACATTGCTGACAACTTAGTTACGGAGCCAGGGCGATTTCCTTTCAGCCCAAACAGTCTTCAGTCTAGTATTCAGCATATTTTTTTGAACTTTTTGTTTCTTCAAAGCGGTGAATTCCAGAGTTGTTAACCTTCAAAAGTGTCGGGATTGGTTTTCTCAGTTGTTCAAAGCCGACCTTTTGACCTTTTGGTTTCTCCTTTTTGGTCTAGTTGTAGTCATGAACCCAAAAGGTTCACCTTTTATTTCTGGGTCCTTTGGGCAAGTGAGTTTTGGGTTCTGTTCTTTTAGCTTCGTCTTCTTGGGGTCTTGGGCTGCCAAGAAGCCAAGGCTGTTTTGCTTCGATGCCAAGGGTTGGACAGTTCGTCACGTTGCCGCCGTGTCAGGCGCAGATCCTGGAAGAGTTGGCCAGGCTGCAATGGACAGGGGCCACGGGGCTGAGAAAAATACAAAGGAGCTAGGTCCTCCAGATTTGAGAGGTTAGAATAAGGGCACCCGATTTTTCTTCTGTAGTCTATATTTTAGTAGGGGGTTCCCCTCCCCCAAAAAAGAGAAAGGGCACCAAGCTGGGGGACAGTCCAAAAACACGCTAAAGAGGAGGGGAAACTAGGATGTGACGGAATCTTGTGCCTGAAAGCCTTTGAAGCCTTTGCTCAGAGCGGTTGCCGGTGCTCCCAAGTCGGCTTCATGCCCACAGAAAATGGCATTTTGGAGGGGCCCTATGTTCATTCAATGGCTCCATCCTTTTGTGGGGACACCCCACACCCCGGACTCACCTGGGGTAGACTTAGGATGCATTTTGCATTTTACCAGTGACTCAAAGGGAAGCAAACAAAAACATATTTTCATAACTGGGCCCAAGTCTAATGATGTCACCAGCGATTTTGCGCGAGAGGCACCGTGATGACATGGAGCGGCTCCTGCACAAGTCCCAGGCAAGACATGGATGGAAGCATGGACTTTTGTCACGTTCAGGGCGCGCTTGCCCGGGTAGGCGTCCTTTTCGGGGATCCCTCAGCTTATCACTGTTGCATATGGAATGATTCCGGAATTTGCAGATGCGAGATGCATGGTGACTTATCTTGGTGTGCAGTTTGCAGTTTGCTTTGGTTTTTGTTTGCGTGTTTGTTTTGTCGTTTCTTCGTTGTTCTTTTTGTTTAAACAAATAATTGTTTGCAGTGTTTGTGTGTTTGTTTCTGTTTTCTGTGTGTTTGTTTGTTTGTTTAGTTGGCTGTTTGTTTGTGTGTGTTTGCTGCTTGCTTGCTTGCTTGCTTGCTTGCTTGCTTGCTTGCTTGCTTGCTTGCTTGCTTGCTTGCTTGCTTGCTTGCTTGCTTGCTTGCTTGCTTGCTTGCTTGCTTGCTTGCTTGCTTGCTTGCTTGCTTGCCTGGTTGGTTGCTTGGTTGCCTGGTTGCCTGGTTGGTTGGTTGGTTGGTTGGTTGGTTGGTTGGTTGGTTGGTTGGTTGGTTGGTTGGTTGATCGGTCTGGCGGGCCGGCGGGCTGGCTGGCTGGCTGGCTGGCTGGTCGTTTGCGTGCTTGTGCGTGTTTGTGCGCATGTGTGTGTTTGTGTGGGTGTGTGTGGGTGTGTGCTTTTTTTTTTGTGTGTGTGTGTGTTTGCATTGTTATGTTTTGCATGGTCTGGCTGGGTTTCGTTTGGTTTGCTTGGTAGGTTCACTGTGCTGACTTGTGTGTGTGATTTGGTTTGGTTGTCGGCTGGTTTCGTTAGTTTGGTGTCCTTGTTGCTTGTGTTGCCCTGCCTTGCCTTGCCTTGCCTTGTGTGCTTGCTTGCTTTGCTTGCTTTCTTGCTCGCTTTGATTGCTTTCTTGCTTGTGTGCTTGATTGCTAGCTTGCCTGCCTTGCTTGCTCGCTAACTTTCTTTGGTTGTGGACGTGGTCTTTGCGTTCACGTGCTGCATGGCTGCCTGTGCAAGCCTTGGCCACTTCCAGTAGAATATGTGGTTGAACGACTTAGATGTATAATTTCAGCTTAAACGGCACCCCCATGGTGTGGAACACAGTGAGAAAAGCCGGGCCAAAGAATCAAACAAAGGGGCCGAGTTTGAGAAGTGGGTTCCTGAGACGCATGTGACAGCCTCTGCCCCCAATGCCCGAAGTTCACTCGGAGTCCAAGTCTGCAAACAAAGTGAGCAAGCAACGCGACCTGTGCCAGCAACAAGGGTCCCTCACTTTATCCTGTTGGACCTCCGTTTGTTGCCGCTGTTGAGGGAAAATCCTTGGCGTGGCCAAATGTAGCGTGATGTGCAGCTGCCACTCACTACGAATTCAACCTACCAAGTTAGTCACGGTTCGAGTGAATGCCGCTACATAGCCACCAAGAAGGTAGAACCAACCCTGGACTGCAACAAAGGACATGGAAATAACAAGTTGACATCTTTAACACAACCAGGCCTTTGCGCCATCAACTAACCAAAGGGAAAAAATGAATTAAAGTCAAAGGGGAGACTTGTGACTTGGTCCACAACGCTTCCTTGGGCCACAAGTTCTCAGGGGAGTGGTCGGGCTGCTGGAAACACGAGCCCCCGCAAAGCATTATCGTCAACAGGTGCAGTTAATATGTCTTCACCAAGTGAGCAACTCTGACTCAGTTACACATCGCCAACCTTGTTTTTGGATTGATTGCGTGGCTTCAGATTCGGTAGAGCTAGTGAGGGTCGACAGGCATGCACCTAGTGAGACGTTCTTAGCTTACAACATCTATGGGTTGCGGTTCGCACAGTATGCCAATGTGTCTACACATGTTATGAATATTATTTCGTTGCGATATATACCCATACTATGCATATGCATCAAGTATGGTACTGTATGGGGTTGACATGATAGACGCATGTAGGCATAGATGGTAGCGGTTGCACACCCGCATTTTCAAGTTGCAGTCAGTGAGCATAGAACCCGAAACGACCGCATGTCCGCACACTGTCCACCTTTCGCTGCCGTTGACCCCTCTGCAAAGTTTAACTTTTTGTGGATTCAACGAAAACCCTCGGTTTCCGAAGCAAGTTAAGGTCTTAAGATCCAGCCCAATAGCAAGGTTTGTCGGTCCGGGAGGAAGGGAAACCGCACATTTGGAACAGGGTTGCCGCCCATGCAAACACCAGATTCAACCCCCTATCTCGTGTTGCGAATTCGTTCCGGGGCGCGGGTTTCCCTTGGAGACACGCCTTTTGGTCAGGATCCCACTCTGCCAATGGAGCCGCTTGCCTCAAGCGCCGGTGATGTCTCCGACTGCGTGGAAATGTAAGTCGGATGTTTGCTGGGTCACCATACAGCAAGGACAGAGCAAAGCGATATATTATATATATATATGTTGTGTGCGTTCATGCCACATGCGACAAAATGACTATCTATGTATGAACTTGCGTAGTGAACTCTGCAAGTGAACTCGGATCACCTTTGGGTCCTAGTTGGAAACAGTCCAACTGTGCGCAACCAACATCCAGTGGCCTCTTGTGCAATGATCCTGCCAGTGTTTTTGTGGCAACCATTCTGCGTCTGGCTCAGGGGCTTGCTTGAGGGAGGTACTTGGACAGGATTGACGCCGTGAGATCAGATCAATCAGCAAACAAATAACAACAACTAAACCTCCATTTGCCTAATGATTCATGGTTCTTCTGTTGGTTTGAAAGGGAACCTATTGCTACTGCCCATATTTTCTGCTTTTATTCCAGAAACACGTCTTCAGGAGGTCGGCCATCAGTTGTCTGGTGGCCTGAAATGGCAGACATCTGTTAGGTGGGGGTTGGTTTTTTTGTCCACCAATCACCTTTTTAGGGGGGGTTCCCCATTCAAATTTCTGTTGCCCAAAGCCGACCTTTTGACCTTTTGGTTTCTCCTTTTTGGTCTAGTTTCAGTCACGGCCCCAAAAGGTTAACCTGTTATTTCTGAGTCCTTTGGGCAAGTGAGACATTCATAGCCATGTGATCTTTGCCGCAAATATCTTTCCTTAGGCCATGATCTTGGCCGCACATATTTGCCTCGGGGCGCTTTTTGCCTGCAGCAGCGCTTGCAAAAAGCGCCAAATCAAAGCCGCCCCCTTTCTACCGCGTTTTCAGCGGCACGCCAACCCACGAACCCAAAGGTCTGCCTATCGAATCGCCAGGCCATTTGGGCGGGTCTTGGGGCCGAGGGGGCCATCCCAAAGTCAGACCCCGTCGCCGCCCTTTCAGGGGCCCTTGGTGGACATGGTCTTTGCTTCGGACTTGAAGGTCAGCTGGGGTTGACCCCTCTGAATCATTTTGAGACCTGGGCTTGGGCTACGTTGACTCTCGAAAAAGCAACGGGGGATATGTTCGTTGGCATTCTTCCAAAAGGGGAGGGGGTCGGAACTTCATTTTCGTCCCAGAAGATAAACTCACGTCCCTCGTTTGGTGGTGATTAGTGATGGTTTGCCCCCTTTGGCTTTCGGACTTTCGGTGCCGATTTCGGACTGGCGCCCTTCCAAGGCAGCACAAAGGGCGAGTTCTCTACTGCTATTGGGTTGGATCTTTAGACTTTAGCTTTTTGGATACCCATCCTATTTCCTGTTAAGCTACTTTTTGCTGCGAGATCTACGGCAACCAAGAGTTTGACGATGGATTTGAGGTCGAAGTGCGCAAGGCCCTCGCGGCATGCGAAGACCCCAGCCCTTTCCTCTCCCAGTGGCGATGTGCAGGACACGTGTGCACTGCGTTGCTCGCGCGGGGGGCAGGTGTTGGGGTGCGGGTTTTGTTTGTACCACGGGTTCACCCTCCGTCCAACATGGCACTGGACTGAGGCTCCCTGAGGAAGTCAGGCAAAGTACCCTCCCACCAATTAACATCGAACCTGACAGGGGGTCCTCTAACAGGAAAATGGTCGCCCGGCACCCCTTGATTGGTGGGAGCGTAATTAATTGGGGTCGGGTACTGAGCCAAATTAAGTCATAGGGCAACATGTGCAATTTAGGTGGAGGGATGGCCATCCATTTGGCACAGTTCTTTGCCTACCAGGCAAGGTTGAAGCAGCACCGTTCTCCTGAAATGCTTGGTGACTGAACGCAAGTCTTCGTGGGGTGTTTTGGATATTGCTTTTGTGGGTGGAGAAATTGCTTGTCACCCATGTAAAAGGGCATGTTTGAGCCTCACTGCGTCAACGCAGTGCCCACAAGTTGCCCTCGGCTTGATGTCAAGCAGACCCAAATTGGCTGATGAAACTCCGGGACGGTAAGCAATGGCTTCCATTTGCTTAAGATTTTGTTTATTTCATTTGTTTATCCCTTGTTGGTTGTAAAAAACGGATTTATCACCACTGGCAATCTGTTTTTTTTTTTTTTGCCAGGGGTCTTAACCAAATGGAAGATGGTGGTAAAAAAATCCCCCTCCCCCAAGCAAGCAGCTTCGTCTCCACGAGGTTCACCAACCCCGCTTTCCGAGAACCAATTCAACGAATAGAGATGCGAGCAGTGCACACGCTCGATCGACCAAAGCTTCGGCCTTACTGCGTCTTTGGGCGAAAAATGCAATGAGCTAGGTCCCCGTGCCCTTTTAAAAGCTTTTTTGAGGGAGGGTGCCCCTACTGAAATAGATTACAGAAAAAAGGGTAATTACCCTTATTCTATCCTCTCGCTTGGAGGACCTAGAAATGCATGAGTCTTTTGTCACGGAGCTGAGGTGCCGGGTGTAGAGTTCGGTCGGGATCTGAGGGTACCCCTCTCACAGTTCGCACGGGGCCTTTGTGGGGACAGGGGGGGGGATCAGGCCTAACAAACGGCCACAGCAAGTGCGGGGCCTTGCTTCGGGAAGCCAAGGGGTTGCTTAGCGCATTCTGCACCTAGGAAAGCGGAACAGGTTTTGGCGGGTTTGGGCTCTCTGAAACGCGCCACACAGCTGGCCGAAATGGCCAGCTGTGATGCCGCCGGGTTTTTGGGCCGGTTGGATCTTGGGACCATTGGACGTTTGTCCTGGAAGTCTCGGGCTTGACTTTGGAGGTTTTCTTTGGGCGAAAAGGGGCAAGAAACCCCAATTCGGCCAAAGGAGCCTGACTCGGACGCCGTAAAGGACGAGTTTTCAGAGGAGACTTCAGTGGTGGATGCTGACGATCTCATGATGCAATCGTCTTCCAAAGAGAAGCTAGGCCGGGCATGGAATGGTCTGCAATTGAATGTATAAGAGGTTGTCCAATGTACCCTTTGGCCTGGAAGATGCCCTCACCAAGGCCGAGCCGCTTCGTTGTCCACATCGAATCGACAGCTTGAATCGATGATTGACCTTTCGAAATCCAAGTGCCGGTCTAGGTTCAGTCATGCCCGCATGGTTAATGCGCCATATGTCCAAGTCCTGTGGTTGCAAGTCGGATGCATGCATGTGTGTTTGTGCGGAGCGACAGAACTACCCTGTCGCCATCCTTTTCATTAACAACAGGGGGCCAGCGCACGACACCATGACGCTGGCCAACGAAGCTAGTGGTGTCGTGGGATGGGATTCAGGACGCTGAATCCTGTACCTGCACATGCAGATGGCCGTGATGTTCGGAACGTCCTTTTGATCCCCTCCCTGAACCGCTGTTGCTTCCTTGGTTCCCTGCTCAAGTAGCTAGAGTGAAGCTTTACGTCTTTATCGGCTTGCATCCGTCTCGCCACTCGAAAACCCACCAACTCGAGACTTACCAGTTGAACTCGCAAGATGAGATCTCTCCCTCGGGAGTTTAAGTGTGTGTGTGTGTGTGTGTGTTTGTGTGTGTGTGTTATATTGTGTTTTTGTGTTTGCGTGTGTTTGCGTGTGTTTGATTGTGTTTGTGTTTGTGTGTTTGTGTTTGTGTTTGTTTTTGTGTGTGTATGTTTGTGTGTGTTTGTGTTTGTGTGTGTTTGTTTGTGTTTGTTTGTGTGTGTATGTTTGTGTGTGTGTGTATGTGTTTGTGTGTGTTTGTTTGTGTTTGTTTGTGTGTGTGTGTGTGTTTGTGTGTGTGTGTTTTTGTGTGTGTGTTTTTGTGTGTGTGTCTTTGTGTGTGGTTGTGTGGTTGTGTGTTTGCGTCTTTGCGTCTTTGCGTCTTTCTGTCTTTCTGTCCTTTTGCGTCTTTCAGTCTTTCTGTCTTTCTGTCTTTCTGCCTTTCTGCCTTTCTGCGTCTTTGCGTCTTTGTGTGTATGCGTGGTTGCGTGTTTGCGTGTTTGCGTGTTTGTGTGTTAGTGTGTTTGTGCGTTTGTGTGTTTGTCTGTTTGTCTGTGTGTCTGTTTGTCTGTTTTTGTGTTTGCGTGTTTGCGTGTTTTCGTGTTTGCGTTTTTGCGTGTTTGTGTGTTTCTGTGATTGGTTGTTTGGTTGCTTGTTTGTTTGTTTGTTTGTTTGTTTGTTTGTCTGCTTGTTTGTTTGTTTGTTTGTCTGCTTGTCTGTTTGTCTGTTTGTATGTTTGTCTTTTTGTCTGTTTGTCTTTTTGTGTGTTTGCGTGTTTGTGAATTTGCGTGTTTGTGTGTTTGTGTGTTTGGTTGTTTGTTTGTGTTGGTTGGCGGGTCGGTGGGTGGCAAGAAGATACCCCCTAATTCAACGTTACTAGGTTTAAGATTTTGGGCTAGCAGTGGGGAGAATTCAATTCACTGGGGAAAGCAGCGGTGTAGATTAGTTTTAGGAGGCTCTGGTCTTTCTGGTTGAAGTGTTCCGTTTTTAGTACGAGGTATGTAGGTGAATTTCGGCAAAGAAGTTAACGAACGAGGGGGTACCCGCCTAGACAAAAGGGAAAGATCGAGAGAGGAAGAGAAGGGGAGAGAGAGTGAGAGAGAGATTGATTGACTGAGGGAGGGAGTGAGGGAGAAATGTTTACTGGTGCAGTATTTGTTCTCAGGGAATACGACTAAAGTTGCGGTTTGTGGGGAAAGCCACTGCTTTAGACAGGATTGGTAGTTGGGTTTCGGCAGCATGTTTGAGTTGTGAAGGGGGGCTTGATTAACAGGGGGTTAGGGTCATGCTGCTGCTTCCTGCGCAAGGGTTGAAGTCGGAGATTTTCAGATGCGCTCCAATGTAAATTTCCGCTACACTAAGCTGGTAGCGCTTGTCTTCCCTCAGTTGCACCCCATCAAAGGACCCTGGGTCAACATGCCGGCAGCCTCGATGTTTTCCTTTGTAATCCAGGTCCCCCAGTAGTGCCTTCTTATCGTTTTTTTTTGGGAGTGTTCCCCTACTAAAATAGACTACAGAAAAAGAAGGGTACCCGTGTTCTAACCTCTCTACTGGAGGACCTAGTAATTGAAACCTGCCCTTTGGTCAGTGGGGCTTGGCATTGCCGGAGGTTGGGACGAAGAAGATGAGGCCAAGCGGCGACAGGCCAAGGCAAGGTCACTGGGAAGGTCGGCCAGTCTGCGCCCCGGACTGCAAGCAGTGCCCCAACCCGCTCGGAGGTGTGATTTGTTTGTCGGCGCCGCGCTCCAAGCAAAAGACACTCCCCTGAAAGCTATCACGGAAGCCAAGTAGTTTGTTTTGGGCGTGTTTGGTGTGATGTGTGTCTCTTTGCTTGTGTTTGCGTGTTTGTCTGTCTGTCTGTTTGTTGCTTGCCTGCCTAAGTGTCTGTCCGTCCGTCCGTTTGTCTGTCTGTGAACTTGTCTGCCTGTCTCGTTGTGGCCTCCTTGCGTGTTTGGTGATCGTGACACCTAGCCATCCCGCTCGATGGTGCCAAACACATGGCATGACAACCAACACAAACAAAACACAAGCACACAAATCACGAAAGCAAGCCAGCCAGCAAGCGAGCAAACTTGAGTGTTTCAGCAAGCAAGCACGTGACATGAGTGAATGCACAAAGGACATAAAGCAAAGCAAAGCAAAACAGCGCAAAAACAAACCGCCGAACAACTCAACAGAAACAAACAAACAAACAAACACACAAGCAAATATACAAGAAAACAAAGAGGCAGGCAGGCAGGCAGGCTTCTTCCGTAGGACCGCACTGCTTAGCTCTTCTGGCCAGCTGGAACTTTGCATCCATGAGCCTGCCGAGATTGAAGACAAAGTTGTACCAAGAACTCAGATGTCTCGCAGGTCCAATGCTAGTCCATTGTCAGCGTGGAAACCACAGCATGGGTCAAGAAACGTCGGCAACCGCTGTCCAGGCACGTGAGTGGGGATGCGACTTCAGTGTAGTTGCAGAACCTGTGTAGCTTGGTTACATACCACTGCGACAGCATCTAGGTCCCCCAGTAGTGCCCTTCACCAGCCTATTAAAATAGACCACAGAAGAAAGGGTACCCTTATTCGAACCTCTCCACTGGAGGACCTAGGTATATAAGGGCTATATGCCGCCTTAGCGCCATACCCCTTAAGCGGCAAAGAGGACCTTTCATTCCTCGAGCCCATGTAACGACCGCCGAGGAGCGCGTCTGAGATGGAACGCGCCAACCGGTGTGGCTGGTTGGTGCACGTGGTGACCAGTGAAGGCCTCAGAGCGCCATATGTCCACATCGGCCCAAAAAGATGTTAAAGCTTGGGGGATCACTTGGGGTTTCTCCAACCACTTCTGTGATGCAAGGGCATATTTCCCTTGATTTTGGGGTCTTCGTCTTCTTTGGGGGACTCCCTTTCTGTGGTAGCGGTCATTCCCACAGCTGGCTAGCCCTGCCAGGGATTGATGAAAGGCGGCTTGCACCCGCTCAGAGACTCGGGACATGAGATCCAGGTAGCGCCTTTGAGACCATGACCGCCTTCCTCATTTGCAGCAACGCCCTCTTCATTGGCATCGAGGCGACGTCCTTCAAAGCGATGGTTCAGATGGTTCTTAAATAAAATCTGCGAGCCAAGGCGCTCGCCGTCTACGAGGGAGAACTTGGCAAACGGGCGCAACACCTGTTTATAAAGGTCCGCTACGAAAGGGCCATGTTTAGATCTTCGGCTTCTGGTTGGGTGCAATTGTCGTTTGCAACCAATGTGCTGGACATTTGCCTTGTGGCGTCGTTTGGCGCCGTGATTGGTGAGCGCTGGGTCAGATCGAGCTCTCCGTGCACTTCACAGAGAGTCAGATGCCCGCAAGCGTCCAGGCGGGCAAACAGTTTCTGCGCTTCGAGCGGGCTTCCTTTCTTCATGTGCGACAGTCCCGATCTGGTGCTAAAGAACTTAGGCGGTTTGATTTGCGGATTTCCTGTGGAGGATACGGAGGCCTTACCGTGGAAGTACCCTCTAAACACCAACTGACTAGGCTTTCCAACATCCATAGACAAAATTCACCGCCCAAAGTCTCCGGATCCGCGAAGTGGACTTCAGTGCGTTGACATCCAGGTGGTTTGACAAACATCGAGGCTCTTGAGATGGATTTCGAAGAAACCACGTTACATGTTTCCCGGGACCACAGGCAGTCGGACAGAACTGGGCGGCTACCGCTAGAACGGTGCCAGCTACTAAACGGAAAGCAGCTGCAATGGCCTCGCCAAGTGTGCCAGTTTTGTCAAGGCCTCACAAATTTCACCTAGCTCCTCACCTGGCCTTCCTCTTTTGGAACGATGGTCCAAGGGTCAGGCAGCGAAAAGTGCCATGTTGTCCCCTCCCAGCCTTCTTTTGAGCGCCATATTCGCATTTGAACAATGCCAAGGCTGACTTCACGAGGTTGAATTGCATTGGGCCCGAAGGTGTGGAGATTGAACATGGGTTTCTGCACCCAGTGGAACGCGTCGACATGGCTGCTTTGCCGAGTCTTGATCAGAACATGTGTGTGCCGGCCTTTGAAAACAAAGCGGACGAGCTAGAGCAGTGATTTGTTTGAGGGGTCTATAACAGAGCCGCGACAGCGTACCCCGTTGCATGCCTATGCAACAAGACCTGCTGGCTCCTTACACGCCCCTTCAACCGAATTCATAGCCATATGTCGGTGCCACCAGTGTTGCGGACACATTGACAATCTTAAAGAATTGTGACGCACTGTCACTTCTCGCTAGTGCCACGGACAGCTTGTTTTGCTGAATGTCGGAATCCTGGTCAAAATGTGCGGCTGTGCTCAATGAACATGCTTGCCGGGGCTTGCTCGTGCCGTTCCTTGCTGTACGTGGCAACAAGTCTCTCCTCAACATTCCGGGAAACTCTTGAGTGAAAGTGGCTTCAACTGGATCCACACCGACCTCCACACAAATGGTCGGGGAAGGACAAGAAGCAGGAGCAGCATCCATGGCTCGGCCAAAGATTCCGGGCAACGTTGCAAGGTGATTGGCCTTATCTACACGGGCGCTTTCGCGCTGGAGCTTCTGCTGAGAGTTTTGACACATGGCTGCAGCAACCTGGAAGAATTGAGATGCTAGGTCCCCCAGCCAGTCTGTGCCCTTTTTAGCCCAACTTTTTCGGTTGGGAGATTCAGTTCCCCTACTAAAATAGACGACAGAAAAAGGTACCCTTATTCTAACCTCTCTACTGCAGGACCTAGGATGTAGTTCGTAGGAAGCACGTTTGGTTGCTCGAAAGAAGTTGGTTGGCCCAGTGGGTTGCACAAGGGCGCTGGCATGACTGGGTGGCGTTCTGGTAGGGACTTAAGGCATTTGGAAGTTCAACCTCCCAAGCAGGTGCCAAAGTAGAAACGCAGCCACCACCCAGGCAGAAGAGCGTTTTGACTTGGAGAAGCGTGCCTCCAGCAGCCAGATATTGCCTCCTACGATGTGTGCCCTTGATCCAGAAACCCTTTACTATCTTCGACTCGGAAGAGCAAAACACAGAACCACAAAATGACTCATGTAGTGACCCGCATACGGAGCTTCAACCAGACACAAGTGTGGTCAGCTTTCGTGTAAAACCATGGAAGCATTGGGCAGACCGCATCGGAGCATAATTTTCGTCATGTCGTGTTCCAGTTTGTTGCGCAAAGCTGAACTTGTTCCTGGATTTTCGGTTGCAGCCATTTCGGGCTGTCTTTCGGGGCTCGGCCTATGGAAATGCAATTTCCCCCTGCATTCGATTTTTGTTCGGAAAGATATGCATCAAATCCTTGTTTGTGGACGCGGGCCCTTACCCCGAAGTTGGGTGTTACCCTCCCGCGGGGAACCTGACGTTTGGGGGGTCCTGGTTTGGACCATTTTGCTTTCAAAGGGACCCCCTGTCAGGTTCCATGTTAATTGGTGGGAGGGTATATCTTTGAAGCAACTCCGTCATCAGGAACCATTTGCTCATGGAGATTTGGACGTAGGCTCTTCACAAATTTCAGGCTGTAATTATTTCGAAGATGATGGTGGGCAGCGGTATTTGATAGCTGCTCTTTGTTCCAATCCATTAGATGGCTGTGGACTTGCATGAGCTGGATTTTTTTGCGTTATTCGCACTCGCGACTTGGGAATCCTTCACAGAGACATACACCACTCCCCCAGGTTCCTCCAAATTCAACTGAACATTTTTCCGCGTTGGGTGCGAGAAGGGGTGGGAGCCGTGTTAACATCCACGCGTGGCTTGCTTGAGTACATGCATCAAAGGCAAGCCACAAGCTTGACCGAGGGCCCCGGAGTGTATATTCACTCACAAATTTCTAAAGGGGACCCTCCCCCTTGAAGACTCAAATCGACCATTTTTGGAGGTGTGTTTGGGTGTGTATGTGTGTGCTTGGGGGCTCCTAGGAGGTGTTCAATGATTAACTGAATTTGTGTTTTGCATTCTCTTTGCCATGCAGCCGGCTGAGGCATGTTCTGGAAAAGGCTTCCTGGCAAGACACGTTGCCGAGAGAAGCGCTGGAGTGTCGCTGGCCCAATGGGTTTGCCTTTGTTTGCCTACAATGCAGAACGGGGTCCCCGATATCACACACGCATATGAAATGACAGTTGCCTTAGAAGAGTGCGGCCCATAGCAGCGCATTGGGAAGCGGGTGATAAATTGGATTTGCAAGTTGGAGACAATGCCCAGATTCCGCAGAGAATGTCCTGGGACGCCGATCCGCCCCACACCTATTCGCTTGTTGTTGCCCCCCTCGGCTTGTCGAATGACAGATGCTTCTTTGGCAGAAGCAATGAATTGTGAATTCTCTTGACTCTTGAGCTCTCGTTGGTTACCACAGGCGTTTCTGTCCTCGATTGCTTCTCGCCGTTAGGGTTGTTCACGTGCTCACACACAGCGCGAGCCATAGACTTTTCTAGGGGTAACTTCCCCGTTCTTTCCAGGGATCCTTCTTTCTAGAAAACCACCAACAATGCTGCGGAAATGGCTGGTTTATGAAAAGAACGATGGTTGAACGAATGTGGAATCAACCCCTAGAACTTTCGCCGCTGTTCCTTCGCTTCGCTGGTTGTCCGCAAGCTTCGCTTGGATGTAGCTCAAAATTGGGGGCCCGACATGGAACCTTGGCAAACAACCAGGTCCCCAGCTAGGTGGTCTTTGACCAACTTTGGAGACGTGTTTGAATCGTTGGACGTGTTTGCCTAGGTCCCCCAGCTGCCCTCTCTCACCCCTGTTTTTTCGGGAGGGTTTCCCTACTAAAATAGTCTACAAAAAATAGGGTGCCTTCTTCTAACCTCTCTATACTGGAGGACCTAGACAAGTAGACGAAAGCTTAACAGCAAGTCCAGCTGTTTAATTTTGCGCCACACCCTCAAGGCTTCTTCGGGGTCGAACAAACATATCGCGGGTTTTTGCTGAGGCAGTGGGCTTGGAATCTCTTGGACCTCTTCGTGGTGCTGTGCTCCTTGCAGGGGCCTTTGAACCCGGCCTTTGATCGAGGTGAAGTTTCCGCAAATTGCCCTGGAAAGGCAGCCTTGTGCATGGTGCAGTTGGCGCTCCCAAGTGACACCCACTTGGATTGTACGTGCACATGTGCTTCCTTTTTGATACAGAGACTCGCCACCCATTTTGAGGCAGCCGCCATGAGAGTTTCACATCCCAGGTGGGAACTCCTGGTGCTGGCCGCTCGGTGAGGGCGTGCGGAATTTGACCAAACTGGCAGCGGAAGCCGGACTCATTGCACAGGTTTTTCGAAACATGTGGGTATGAGTCAAAATTAACTCAGTTGTTCAGAGGCACCCTTCTTCCTCTTTTTTTTGGGTGGCTGCCCCACTAAAACTGGTCTTCCCCAAAAAGGGTTCCCTTTTTTTCCCAGGGTCACTGAACAACTGAGTTAAACCACCAGGGACCACGGGTTGTCGTTTTCGTTTCCATTTACCCGGGTTCCATTCAGGGTACCGCTTTTTTGACCCACACCCAGGTGGCTGTGGCTCAAACACATGTTCTAAAATGGCACCTGAGTAACTGAAAACATGACTCAGAGTTCTGCGCAACCCCAGCTGCATGTTGAAACCACTCCCATGTCCCGGGAAGAGAGCCTCAGCTATTGCTTTTGCAACGTGTTGAACCTCCTTCTTGGGCTGCGATGAAAGGCGACCCCAGAAGTCACCCACCCGGTGGGACAGATACCTCCATTTGCTTAAGTTTGTTTTTCTTCATGTTTTTTCTATTGTTATTTCTCTCCCTTGTTGGTTTTAAAAGGAATTCATCACCAATGGGCATATTTTTGTTTTTTCCTGGGGCAAAATGGAAGGATACCTCTCGAGATATGTCTGAGATTCATTAAGCTCCGCGCACGCGGCCTAGCGGATGGTCAGGCCAGAAGCGGCGGTGGGGGTGTAATGGTTAGGAAGCGTTGGACGTGTTTGCCGAGGTCCCCCAGCTAGGTGCCCTTCTTTGGTTGAGGGGAACCCCCTACTACCATAGACCTTCCCCCAAAAAAAGTTGGTACCCCTATGCTAACCTCTCTACCGGAGGACCTAGTTGCGTAACAAGTGTTTACTTGACAGACAAAGGGTAGGTTCATGGATTTGTGCCATGTTGTTGGAAGACCTGGGCCTTTTCGTCATCAACATTGACTGCTGGTGCATCTTGGAATCAACTTGCATGATGCGACTCAACCCCATTCAGATGCTTTCTTGATAACAATGTTGCCCATCCAACTAGATTTGGCTGTGGCTCAAAAACCGGCACCAAAATGGAACCCTGGTAAGTGGAATGCACCAAAACCCGCGGTTTGCCCCTCCTGTTTGATTTTGAGCCACACCCATGTGACCACCATCTAAGCAGTGCCCCCTGCTCACTTGCAAGTTGCTTCGGTTTCTGGGCGTCCGATGCATGCCGAGAACAATGAGCCTGAAAGGTGTTCTGTCCCTTTTTCCTTTGCCCAAAACTTCTCACTTGCCCAAAGCGAATCGACCGGATCTGACCTTTTGGTTTTCCCATTTGGGGTTCCCATTTTTGGTAAAGGTCCCAAGAGGTGATCACCTTTTCATTTTCCAGGTCCGAACTGGGCAAGTGAGAAACTATTCGATGTGTTAGGGTTGACTAGGTGTGAAACAGAATCAGAGATTTTGGTTTGTCTCCAGTGTACCCCACCCAGCGGTTTCGAATTTGCCTGCAACCAAGGGAACCACCTTTTAAGCAACAACAGGGAAAAATAGCTGGTTACCTATATGGGCGAAACGACTGGGATCGGAACAAACAAGGGGGATGTTTTTTTTTTTTTTTGGGGGGGGGTTGGACCCTCCACATTTTGGGTGGCTGTTCCTTAGTTTTTGTCTTATGTACCCCAGATGTGGGCCAAGTAAAATAGCTGGTCAAGGTTGGACTCTCCAAAATGGGTGGGTGTTCCTTAGTTGCCCTGTCTTTCGTACCCCAGACGTGGGCCAGGTTTTCACCCACCTTTGTTTCACGAACCTTTAAGGGGGGCCAGCTTCTGGGCTGCCCCACATAGCCGGCAAGGAGTCCACTGACAGGGAAATGGACCCTTGAACAGGAACATGGCCACCAAACAAGGACCATTTCCCTGAACATTGAAGGGTCCCATGTGTGAAAAGTTGTTGTTGAAGGGTAAAATTCACACTCACTTCCTGAGTTCCGAGAGTTCCGTTTTGCGGACTTGAGCCACTTTTTTTGGGCCTTGATCGTTTTTTCCGCAGCATAGATCCATCGGTCATCACGGGTTCCGTTCCTGTGTGTGGCATCCATCCACGAATCATCGATCGGGAGTGAGCTAATTACTGCCATTTCCGCAGCATACGTCAAAAGGTGAACGGGTACCTTTGTGGCATCCAAGGACGTGCAAATCATGCCAGAATTCAGCCCAGGCACACCACGTGAAGCACCATCGGGGGGCGGATGGAGTTCCCTTTGTGCGGCATCCGTGCACAAAATTTTGCTCGGGCGTGAGTTAATTTAGCGCCAAGGGACGAATCCGAAGCTCCAAGGTCGCGGCAGCGCTGTTCCCGGGCTTCAAGGTGGACTCCATCTCGGTGCTCACGTCGTTGCGGATCCTGCGGATCCTCCGCATCACGCGGCTGCCGCGCGGCGAAATGACCTGCGAAAAATGCGGGGAACATTTTAGAGCGGAAGGGGCCTCGATTTTTTGTGAACCTCAGGGCTTCGGCTGGTTCTTGGCCACGGGAGCCAAACAGAAAGCACATTTATTTGAAGACCGCACTTCCCGAGTTATGTTTATATATTTTTTGGGTTGGACCATGTTAGTGACAAACAACAAGTTTGGTTGCAAAACATTTCAAGCCACTCAGAAGTCAGGTTTTAGGTCCTGAGTTGTCCTGTTTTGTGCGAGTGGCCCAAAGCGAATCGACCTTCTGACCTTGTGACCTTTACACATGGTCCATTTATGGTCATGGCCCCAGAAGCTTAAACCCGAAAGGCTGGACAGCTGGGCTTCAATGGATGTTGCACAGTTGCCGCGGCATTTGGCATCGGAGTTGCTTTAGGGGTGAAGCTGCGCAGAGTTCTACACTGCCATAATGTTGACCCAGGATTGATAAACCCGTCCCAGTATTAGGGGGGTGTTCCCTCCAAAAGTGATGAATCCCCACTAAAAGGGGACACCCCCCTATTAATCAACCAGGGGTTTATTAATCCGGGGTCAACATTAGTGAGCTCAGGGGGTAAACCGCGCTCACCATGTAGACCCCTCAACCTGCGGATCTAGTTCAGGTTTGGCTGGGGCTCAAAAAAAAGGGAACCCCAAAATAGCACCTTGGCAAAGAACCAAGAGTGACACCTGCGTAAGCCTAGGTGTTTCATTTTGAGCCACACCCGTTTGGGAATTGTGGAATATTTGCGGAGATGTGCCCAGTTGTCTCCCAAATCCTGCCGAATGGCGGGGCCGAGGGTCCGCAGGTGCGGGTTTCCTCACAAAGTTGAGAGGGATTCCTCCAAAATGCTGGATTTCCTTTGCAGGGTTGAATCAAAGTTTGTTAAACTGCGCGCAGGCGTCCTTTTTCATCTTAGTTTGGATAGAAAAAACTATGGCGCTGGTTTAGATTTGTGCTCACTTGCCCAAAGCGAATCGACCTTTTGACCTTTTGGTTTTCCCATTTTGGGTTCCCATTTTTAGTAAAGGTCCCAAAAGGTTAACCTTTTCATTTTCCAGGTCCTTTGGGCAAGTGAGCGTGTCTTTGTCCATCTGCCAGATGGAAATCCATGGATTTGCTAAAAGGTCGACCTAGTTTTTGACCCGGGTTCCGGAGCCATTTCCCGGTTTGGAACCTCCAAAAGTGCAGAAAAAAACAATGGACAGCAGAAAATTGATCAATTGATTTGGGGACATCCAGGCAGCCCCGTATGAGGGAAGCCTCATTTTTGTTTGGCTTTCCTTTCGGTTTCCTTTTAACCCCACCAATATGGTCACAGACACATCATAGCCCAAAAACAGCAATCAGCAAGAAAAGCACAAAGAGTACCAGGTTATTTACCAGCCTGTTTCCACCAAAGAGGGTAGCCTACCCCATGAAACCACCGAAAACTCCGTCGGAAGTCCCAGGATCCGTGGCAACGCTTCCCACGGCACCATGCGCTTCCTGCGAGCCCTGCGCACGTTGATCCATTCGCAGCTTGGTTCGAGCCGAGTCAGTGCCACCCTTTGGGATGATGCTGCTGGATTTGGGTTGTTGTTGTTTTTTTTGGGGTCTTTTTTATTTAAACAAAATAATGATAAAATAACATGTTTTCTTACGGGCCCCAAAAACTCGCGCTCCGAGTTCATACTTTTTGGGTTTGGCCCACTTCAGTGGCAAACACAGAAAGGTCGGACGCAAATTTCCGCTCATGGCTGTGTTCTTCCATTTGCTATAAGAACATGTTTTAATGTCCCCCTTAGTGGTTTTAAAAGGAATCCATGACTATTGGACATGTATTCTTTTTCTCCAGGGGGCAAATATGCAAATCAGGCACTTTTTTGGGGGCGCGCCTTATTCTATCCTCTCAAATCTGGAGGACCATTTCCCTTCTAAAATAGACCTTCCAGAAAAACAAAAGAACGAGTACCCGAAACCCTATCCTCTCAAATCGGGGGACCCTCTTGTCAGTAGCTCAGGATTGTCTACACACTCAAGGAGGTGGCCTGGGCTGGAGTTTTCCAGATCCTCATCATGTATTTCTTCAGCCTGGCGTTGACACAAGGCACGGCACTGAACGCTGGATGAAATGTGAGCGGTGAGGCGCGTTCCTGCGCAGGGGTTTTGATTAGCTCAGGCAATCCGCCAGGTTGACGGTTTGGATTAGGTGCTTGGGGGTTTGAACCCCTTAACCTACGTCCTTCACGGCCAAAAAATGAAACCAGGGGATGGAGTCATCACTTTTGGAGGGGGTCTTCCAACCCACCCCCGACTTGGGTTTTGAATCTGGGGTCAACAGTAGGTCTATTTAAATCGCCAGGATCTCTCCATTTTCCAGGCAACCTATCTTGCGGGTTCCCGGTTTTTGACCCACGGCCACTTGAATTTGGCTATGGGTCAAAACCCAAATCGTACCACCAGTGAACATCCCAATCCAACCACTAAAACATGTTCTAAAATGGGTGGTGAATTCACCTACCTAGAGTCTCCTTCTGACCCTTCAAAACTGGGTCCATGACCCCTGAATTTTGGGTAATGACCAACCATTTTTTCAGGGTCAGAAATAAAAAACCCAGGTAGAAAATTGATCATTTGATTTGGGGACATCCAGGCAGCCCCGTATGAGGGAAGACTCATTGTTGTTTGGCTTTCCTTTCCGTTTCCTTTTAAGCCCACCAACCAGGTACCAACCAAAATGGGATCCCTCCTCGGATCGACGGATCGAGGCGCAGTGGCCTACCTGCGCACCAATCCGGATCCAGATCCCCGGGCCAGCTTCGGCTTGGCTTCGTCGGTTTCGAGACGAAGCTCCATTTCTTGGATTGGATGGGTTTGGACGTGGATTTTTGGTTTGGAAAGACCATTTTGGTGGTAAACCAAGAAGTTCAGACTTTTTTGGGGCCATCCACGAAGGTGAGTATTGTTGCAGTTTAGGTTTGGAACCTCTAAAACAGCCCTTGAACAAAGGGGTGCCGAGCCATTTCCCCTTGTGGAACCGCTAAAAGTGGGGTTCGTTTCAATCGAAAGGATTCGTCAATTGCCACGATTGATTTGGCTGGTGAGATCCACTGGGGATGACAACAAGGAAGGGAGTGTCTTTTGTAAGCTTGGACCTCCAGAATGGGTGATGATGGGTGGGTTTTCTTTGAGTTTCTCTTAAAGCCGCAAACAAGGGGTACCCCTAAAACAAGACAAACCCACAATGACAGCAGTTCTAAAAGTGTGCAATTGTTCTCTTGGACAGGTCCGACAGGTCCAATGTTTCCCTGCGAAAATCGACAGCTAGACCTTAGTCAAACCTGCTTGTGCCCTCTCCTTACCTGAGCGAGCCGAGTCAGTGCAAGGCGATGGTACGAGCGAATGACAGATGTGCCTTTGGGCAGACTCACCACTTCCCTGGAAGCAATGTAATGTATGCTCAGTTTCGGGCCACCTTTTGTCTTACCCCCGAGACGGATCCAGTACCGGGGGTGGGGGGTGCGCCTTTTTCCAAGGGAACGGAACATTTAGGACATGAAGCCAATATATGAAGGAGCAGACTGTTCGACTGCTCTCCTCATGAACTTACCTCAAGATGTCAACGTTTCCGTGAGTGCAGAAACGGCAACGCGCACTTCATCAGTCCAGCAACTTCTGGGTGATGCGGTTGGTCGTTCGGGTTTGCTTTGGCCATTTCCGAATGGAGACGGCTATAGTTGGTTTTAATTGCTATGGACTCGCAAGTGCAAGCGGGCAGTAGACCCAACACACACATGCGCATGGGGAATACGGGCGGTTTCAGTTTTTGTTTTCTTCTCATGGTAAAATGGTGCGACCGGGACACGGCTCCAAATGTTCCTGCGAAGAATTGCCCCCAGGTCAAAGGCCCATCCAAAAAAAGACAGCATTCCATTTTCCACATGGGGGTTGATCGGTTTTTTGTTCGGCCCCCAAATGACCGTGGGTAACTTTTCCCGTGTGGTAGATTCCCCCAATGGCCATCCCATGCAAAACAAAAAAAGGAGCTCTTGATCGACCCCCACATGGATGCCATCCTTCTAGGGGTTGACTTCTTGTCCATCCTTTTCAACCATTAGTTCTTTTCAAAAGCCGGCCGGCTTCCCTTGGGTGTTTGATGAGTTTCCTGAGAAGATTCGGATTTTTGGAAAGAATGGACATGGAAGGTATTAGAATCCTCCGCCTGGCCAGTTGTCCAAATACTGGGGCCACCTCAGCGCCTCCATGGCCACGCTCTTCATGGCGGTCACAGGCTCTCGGGTACCGGGTACCGCAGCCCATGTCGCGCGCGAGAGCTTCGCAACAAATCGGCGGGGACCTGCAGTGCACTTCCGGCAGTGCTAGGCTTCCCCAGAAAAAGCTTCCCCATGTTTGCGTTTTTTTTTTGGGGGGGGGTCCCTTTGTTTTCCACCCAGGCCAAAAAGATATAGTTTTTTTCAGGGGTTCTAATTCCAGCCAAGCAGGGTAGCTTCAAATTCTAGGATAAGACAGGCACCTTAGCTATGGGAGCCCGTGAGATTGGGGGAGCCACTGTGAGTCATTTGCGGCTCGCAAGTGGGGGGGTTACCTGCCAGAATTCTAGGGGTAACTTCCATTTCCATTCTTTCCAGCCTGGGGATATGGCGAGCGGTGTTTGAAAAGAACGATGTCTGAAAAGAATGGAAAAGGAATCAACCCGTAGCGCAGTGCCTTTTCTCAGCTTCATTTTTCCTTTCACAGGGCAGTGGTCGGGGCGTCCTTTGAGCACCACTTGCCATGCATGGCCCCAATGCTTTCGCAGATGCCTACCCTGCCTTGAGCCGGCTGAGTGCCTTTTGCCAACCAGAAGGGAATCTCCAGCAAAAAAAAAACGAACCATGGCGTTGCTTGCTCTTGCCGACTTCACCTTATAAGACGAAGCTCTTGCGCGGTGAGAATGTCTTGCGCTTGGGCAAGCGCGCGCTTGTCCGCGCTCCGAGCGATTTTTTCCTCCGAACACCGAGCTGAGCGGTCCTCCAAGATGAGCGCGCGGAAGTCGAAGCGCGAAACGAGCGCAAGTTTGGAAAACGAAGGCTTCCTTGAGATCCCCTTTTTCATTTTTTGTCAGTTGTTTGTTTCTTCTTTTTCTAAGCGCGATGCGTTTCTTTTTTGGGGGGGGAAACGTGTTTCGATGAAAAACGTAAGGGACATTCCTGAGGGGTGGTCGAGAGATTCCACCCGACAGGCGGCATCTCATGGGAAGTGGCCTCGGACCCTTTGTGGGAGCTCCTTGGCAAGCAGCGAGCTGCGTGTGACTATTCATTTTTCGGGAAAGAATGTGCTGCACGGCCAGATGTTCAGGCACCCCTGAAGTGGTGGTTTGGATTGGTGGTTGGTGGTTTGGGATTTGAATCCCTGGTCCCTGCAGAGGTTATCACAGTGGTTTGCCACCCTCCCAAGCACTTGTTTCCACCGGACTCGGAAGCTGAGATACCTGTTAAGGCAGAAGCCAGAAACCAGGAGCCTTTGGTGTGCCACGTCTCGAAGGCCACGTCTTTTTTGTTCGCTGAGGATCTCGTGGATTCATTGGTGGCTCTTCCTCTTCTACGTGTCTTTCACGGTGCTGGCTGTCCTCAACGTGATGACAGGCGGGTGAATTTGCAGGGGCTGTCCACATGCGCCCAGTGTGGTTGGAAACTCCGCAACTCTTTTCCAACTAGTGGCTTTTCCATTCAACCACTTATTATAATAAAAGTTAAACTTTCAGCAGGGGAGCAGAAAGCAACCGAGCTTCCCTGGCATCGCAAGGTGTCTTCTGTCAATCCGCGATCAAGTCTGCGCAGCACGACCATGAACTCCTGCTGCAAAACATGTTAGCGGAGAAGGACGACGCTCGGCTGCAGCTTGCGAACATAGGTGTCCTTTTTGCTTGATTTGCTGAAAAAATAGAAGGCCCTGGTTTACCTGGTGGTTCAATCATCTACCAGGGCCATCTATTTTCCAAAAAGGACACCCATGCTTGTGGATCTCCACTGCTCTTTGTGGCAAGGAGGCATCGCCTCGAGGCGATTCAGGTTCCAAGAAATTCTGCCCCAGTCAGAAAGCACAGCATCCACCTGGGTATGGGTCAAGATTAAATCACCAGGATATGGACCGCAGGTTAAATCGTCCATCCAGTTACCAGGGCAAGCCATTTGGGGGTTACCAACTATTCTTGACACACAGCCTGCCAAAAAAGCGTCTTTGTTGCTGTCACCCGATTATGAAAGCTGACCGTGTCTTCCTTGCCGCCCTCAGCTTGCCCTCAGCCAGAGGCAATCAGTGTCCCACTCCCCGAGTTCCTGAGTTCCAGCTTGCGAATCCCAGTTGCCCAGTGGTGCCAATTCCTTTTGCTTTTTTTTGGGGGAAGGTGAGTTTCAATATTTTTTAGAACTTGTGAAGGGTGTCCCTTTTTTTGTCAACCAACCAAAAAAGGGTGCCGATCCTTTTTTCCCATGGAAATCCACTGGGCATCCGGAAAATATCCAGTGCTCTTTTGTCACTGAGGCACACTGAGTGTTTAGACTCCTTTTTGCCAATCCACTCGGAAAACAGGGCCTAATTTGCCGGGGAAAAGGGGGGCGGTTTCACTTTGAGCTTGGGCCCTGGGAACAGCGTAGGTTTTGTGTGGAACCGGAGGAAATCAAGAATCAGCGCTGGTTGCCTGTGCCCAGCGCTTGTGTCCAAGGACCACTTGAAGAGGATCAAGGACTTGTTCGCAAAGCCAGGGGGGGGGTGGGGGGCGAGGAGTTTCTGCGGCAAACTGCGTGGTGTTTGGCCGCAACAGTTGGCAAGAGGCTGCATTGGATGGCTGTTGGGCAAGAGCAATTGCCCCAAACTTCAAAGAAATTGGATACCAAACACAATTTAGCGCCTAAGTATGTGTTGTGTCTCCGGCCATGTACCCAACATGTGTCTACATCTTGTGTGCTCACTTCTCCATGCTTTGCCGGGCCTTTGCAAGCAAAGTGTGGCTGGCTGCCTAGGAAGCGATCGTCGCCCAGCAACATAGCACGGGGAAGCATTGAGTGGCATCATTTGCTGTCGCTTGCCCAGACAACAGGAGTGAAGGGGGTTGTGCCACGATGCCCTTAGGCAAGAAGGATTTGGATTGAGACCGTAGCACTCACCAGAGAGTGTTTGCATTAGGTGGATTCAACCCGTAAACGAATGGCTGACTCAATGTTGGGTCATGAAAATTCTGGGGTAAATCATGGTGGTTATATCAACCCCCCCGTTGCTTAATGGTGGTAACTGACCGCAAGGGTAGGGTCATCTTACTTTGGACCAACACTTGGCACATCCATCCATGCCCATCCCCCGCCTGTGTGCAGGCTGGATCACGATGGGCCCCTTGGAAGCGAAGATCTGGAGCTGAGGGACCTGGGACAAGAGGCGTCCTTTTTGGTGGTTGAAAAATCGATGGCCCTGGTTTACCCCAGTTTTTCCGCCTAAAAGGACAATCCTATGCAATGGACGCTTTGACTTTGCAAAAAGTAAGTCTCTGTTTTTGTTCCTTCTTTCTTTACCTGGTGGTGCAAGATCTACCAGGGCCATGTTTGTTTCCCCTAAATGGACAATCCTATGCATGGGACCCTTTGACTTTGCAAAAAGTAGGACTCATGATGGCGGGTAAGAGCAACAAGCAAAATGACCTCGGCTCAAATGGAAGAAGCAAGGGGGCCACGGGCGAAAGTCCCCGGGGCCTCGTAGAAACTGGAAGCTTTGACAAGTTCAGGATCCCGTCGGAAGGGTTTCCTTTGCCAAGATGGGACACCATGAGCACTTTGGACTGCAAAAAGAAGAAGCTGGTGATTACTTTGAGGTTGCTCAGAACAAGCCTCCTCAATCCCACTGCCTTCACGATTGCCTCCTGCGTACCCCCCCAAAAGTTCGGAGGCCCCCCCCCCCCAACAACCCACCCCCGCCGGGCAGTTGCCGACGTTTGTGCGGACCTCGTGATGTGCCCTCCGCTTGAGCCGATTTTTGGGGCACCTGTCAGCTTGCCCGACCAATTGTTAGGGCTTTTAAGGTTTAGGGTTTGTTTAGTGTGCAAATTAGGGCTGGCTTAGAGTGGGGCTCAGGGATGGTTTAGGGCTGGTTTAGGGTGGGCTTAGCTTAGGGTTGGGTTGGGGTCGCTCTTCAGGTTCGCTCAGGATAAAGTTATGAGTACGTCTATTCAGAGAAAAGGCGCCGCATGAGATCAATAAATAATAAACACAAAAACAATAAACAAACACAGACTCAAGACACCACCCAGCCCCAAAACCTACATTCAGAGAAAGAAACACAACAGAGGAAAAAAAAACATCAAGACAAGACTCAGCCCCAAAACCTACATTCAGAGAAAGAAAAAATAACAAAAACACCAAGACAAGACTCAGCTCCAAAACCTACATTCAACAAAAAAGAGATACAAATCAAGAGAAGACTCAGCCCCAAAACCTACATTCAGAAAAAACAAAGCACAAATACAAATCAAGACAAGACTCAATGCGAGGTTTGTGTTTGTCTCGATGTTTTCTCTTTGTTTTTCTGAATGTGGGGTTTACCATTATTGTTTGTCTAGTTTTGAGTCCGTTTGTTTTGGGTTTTGAATGTTTCATTAAAAATCAACTTTCTCTGGCGAAGCCGTTCTCATAAGCCTAAAGGGGAAACAAATTTTTCAAGGAACCTCGCGTTTCTTCAAGAAGCCCAAAGGGGATGAATCATTTTTTTGTCCACACCCCCACGCTGCTTCGGCCACTGGCATCTGCATTTGCCCCAGGTCCGGAACCGTCACACTTGCAGAGTTAGAGGCGGGGCATGATGCAGAGGGTTGCCAAAAATTGGGACGCCCTGCTTGGGAAACACATTCCCGCCGGGCCCCTAAAAAATGAAATTGAGGGAGGGGGGTGGCCCCTGGAATTCCATGTTTGTTTCCACTTTCCCTTACGTGGGGAATACTGGATAAATGGAATTAGGGGACCCCCAATTTGCGGGGATAACCATACCATTTCATTGACGGACTTAGTTGTTTTTTTGGCTGGGGCCTGAGTCTGGCCGAGTTTGTGCCGCCTGGGACGCCAAGTTTGTTGCACCGCATTGAATGGTTTCGCAGTGTTTGGTGTTGGTCCGGGACATGTTAGTCTTATCGTCTTATCAAAATGGCCCTGGCCGGCAAATGTGGATATTGTCCATCGCCGCATGTGGCAAGTGTGAGTCATGGGCACTTGGATTGTTCAACCTGATCCACCTTCACACCACTTACAGTGATTGGCCAAACACCCACCCAAAGTCGAGGATTCTTTGTGGAATTTCCCGGCGAGGGGCTGCCATTAGGCCCAACGCCACGATCCTTGGAGCTTTTTGCCTGCGTTCCGCTCATGTCGTTCCGGTTTTGGCCTCGGAGTCTGGGAACTGCTTGGGCAAGGGATCGGTTGGGCCCTGTTCGACGGCTTCGCCTGAAATCAGCTTCCGCCTTCGGTGGTGGGGAAGGGGGGGGAGGGGATTCGGGGGGATGGGTGGGGTGGGATTGGGGCAAAAGGGGTTCTTCCAACCAATTGCAAGGGAATCTCCTCTTTATATGGGGGGTTAGACTTTGGGAAGGCTCGTTTCGTTGCATCACAGAAGTGGATTCATATTCTGACATCCGGCCCGAGCCAATGCTTGCATTTCCTGCATATGTTCGGTGTTATTGACCATGGGATTTCAACTTCCACTGCAAACCAAGGTGGTGACGTGACATGTGGTGACCAAACAAGATCATTCGCTGGTTTTTGTGGGGCGGGGGGGGGGGGGGGGGGTTAGGGCTGGGATGCTTGCGATCAGCTATGCCAGGATCACATGTCAGACCCTTCGGTACAAGCCTTCTTCGTGGCTTTGCTGCAAGTCCTGAACTCGAATGCCAGGCTTTGCATACGTGACATGGGTCCGAAAATGGAACACCTCCAGAAGTCCGAACGTGGAACACCCCAAAAAAAATCAATCCGAAAATGGACCACACCTTGAAAGGGCTTCTTTGGTTGGCCTCCACCCAAGAAAACCATACTGCACCGGGCTTCGGACCCCTGATTTTTAGGGATTCGACGCTATCTCAAGCCTGGAGCATGAGATGGCGCGAGTCGAACGGGGCAGTCGCGGCGGAGTCTGTTGATTTTTTCTTAGGGCACTTTAGGTCTTACATGGTCTCACTCAGCCAGTGGGCACACTTGACACCTTTTTTCCCTGGTGGCTCTCCCTTTATTTATAGTGGTGGCCCAACAAGTGTGCACTTTTTTTTGGCAGGTCACTGGCTGAGCGAGTGGTTGTTGTTTGGAACCGGGTCTGAGTGCGAGGTTTTTTCTTCAGCGTTCCACACTTTATTTCGCGACATTGGGGCAAGGCTAGACCTCTTCAAACCAAGGTAATGCAGCATGTTGAAGCAATTTTGGGGCCCGGCGCCCACTAGTTGTAGAGGCTTGTTTTGATATCAGGGCCGTTTCGTCAAACTCCGTAAGAATTCAAGTACTTTCTAAGGAGGTTGTTCAAGGGCACTAGAGTATACCCACCTCAGATCTGGACAACCAGACCTCACGGCGGGAGGGTAAGAAAGACAATGGCAGGGATCCAAAAAACGCCCAAAAAGAACGGACTGTCCCAGCACACGTACGAGAAACACACCTCGCCACGCGAGTCAATACGGCGACTGCTCGGGAACACCTGTCATGGTTTGGGAGTCTACTCACCTGTTGTGAAAGGAGTTTGAGTCCACCCAACTAGGTCCCCCCAGTAGTGCCCTAACAGAAAAAGGGGGCACCCCTATTCTTTCCTCTCTACGGAGCGGGGGGAAACACACAACACATGGGTCTGTCTTCTTTAGGGGAACCCCTTTTGTGGTGTTTATGCGAAACCAAAAGGAGGACAACTACCATGTGTTTTGTTTTGGGAACATATACGCATTTTTTGGGTTGGTTGATTTTAAAAGTGACCTCCAAGGAACCTCAGGGTTCCATCGAAGTGGCTGGGACATATTATACATGCGGCTGTCATATGCGGGTGTGTCTTTGTTCGACCCATACTAGGAACAGGAAAAGGAACAAACTACCCCCGACCAACAAAAAAAAACGGGGAAACACAAAAACAATCACTGAGAAAAGGCAAGGCCAGCTTGCGGTCGCCTCTTCAAGTGAACCCAGCAAGGAAAAAGAGCATGATACATGAGCGTCCTTTTTGGTAGTTGTAGTCGAACAATCGATGGCCCTGGTTTACCTGGTGGTTTAATTAATCATCTACCAGGGGCCATCTATTTCCGCCAAAAGGACACCTGTGGCATAGGGTACCAAGAGAATTTCAGACCCGGGTAGCTAATCGAGGAATCCTTAGAGCTGTCGATCACGGACGTGTGGTCCTTCTTCAAGCTTTTGGAGTCCAACGTGGGATGCGACATCGAACCTGCCGCTTTCATCCGAAGATTCGAGCGATCTCCGGGGAGTTTGGGGAGCCAAAGGGGTTGTGATGCGAAAAGGGTGCGACAGGGGGGGATAGGTGAGGTAGGTGAGGTTGAGGTAGCTGAGGTAGCTGAGGGAGCTGAGGTAGCTGAGGGAGCTGAGGTAGCTGAGGTAGCTGAGGTGTTTCTTCAATTTCATTTAGGCGAGCTAACGCCAGGGGGTGCTTTCAGTCGTCCTTTCTTCGACCCAGGACCATAGGTGTCCTGTTTTGGTTGTTTTGGCAAAAGAATAGATGGCGATTCCTGTTTTTCAGGTTTACTCATCTACCAGGGAAACCAATCTATTTCCCTGAAAAGGACACCTATGCCAAGAATATTGTGTATTTTCCCTTGTTGGTCTTGAAGGGAATCGATTTCACTACTGGATTTGTTTTTATTGCTGGAAATATGGCTTTATTTTTTCCAGGCTTCAGCAAATGGAAGCGGTTTACTCATCCACCAGGGAAACCCATCTATTTCCCCCAAAAGGACACCTATGCCAAGAATATTTTGTATTTTCCCTTGTTGGTCTTGAAGGGAATCGATTTCACTTTATTACTGGAAATATGGCTTTATTTTTTCCAGGCTTCAGCAAATGGAAGCGGTTTACTCATCTACCAGGGAAACCCATCTATTTCCCTGAAAAGGACACCTATGCCAAGAATATGTTGTATTTTCCCTTGTTGGTCTTGAAGGGAATCGATTTCACTTTATTACTGGAAATATGGCTTTATTTTTTCCAGGCTTCAGCAAATGGAAGCGGTTTACTCATCTACCAGGGAAACCCATCTATTTCCCTGAAAAGGACACCTATGCCAAGAATATGTTGTATTTTCCCTTGTTGGTCTTGAAGGGAATCGATTTCACTTTATTACTGGAAATATGGCTTTATTTTTTCCAGGCTTCAGCAAATGGAAGCGGTTTACTCATCTACCAGGGAAACCCATCTATTTCCCTTAAAAGGACACCTATGCCAAGAATGTTTTGTATTTTCCATTGTTGTTATGCCAAGAGTACTGTTAATTATTCTTAATCTTGGGCTTTTGGCCTTTTGACTGATACCCAATGGAAGGGCCATCAAGGCTGTTTTTTTGTTTTGTTTTTTTGGTGCAGGAAGGTGTTTAAACAAGTGCATCCTCGCATTTTCCTCACTTCGGTGACGAGAGTCAAGCCGCTTGAGTCGTCCTTTTTTCTTATGCCCATTTTTGCTTGTGGTGGTTTAGTGGTTGACATCCAACCACTTAACCGCTAAAGTGGAGATTTGTTTGCTCCCCTTCCAACGTCAGAAACCAAGAATTTTGGCTGATACCCAATGGAAGGGGCGCTTCTTCGCCCCTTTCTCCTTCTTTTTTTTTGTGAAGATAGTGGCTGCCCCACGAAAACTGGTCCAAGCCCCAAAAAGGGTTCCAATTCTTTTTTTCCCAGTCACTGCACTTCATGAGAGCCCCAGGACGCCTTCTTCGAGGGCTGCCAGCGCCTCAAGGGCTACGCGCGGTCCCTGGACTTGGCGAAGCTGATGCACCAGACGCAGACGCCGGGGGAATGGGTCGAGCGGTCGAGCGCTGCGGGTTTCGGGGTGAGTCACTGGCGCAAAAGCGATCGGTGCAAAAATGGTGAACATAGGTGTCCTTTTTGGTTGTGTTGCTCGAAAAATAGATTGCGAATCCTGGTTTACCTGGTGGTTTTTTCTCATCTTCCAGGGGAACCCATCTATTTCCCCTAAAAGGACACCTATGATGGTGAACCCAGAGCCAGGTCCAATGGAGGGGATGGGACCCAAGGCAGGATTCAACAGCTAAGTCATACTCAAAACCCGGTATGAAAATGGTCGACTCGACCCAGAACCACGTAAAGACAAATGCATGACTGCTATAGGGTTGGATCTTTAGACTGTGACTTTTTGGTTGAAATCAAGGGGTTTTCCGAACTAAACCCCCAAACAGTGATACACTTTTTGCAGGGGGGTCAGCAACCAAGAATGGTGAACCCAGAGCCATGTAGTTAAAGAATTAGAAAGGCGGCCACAACTATTTCCGGCTGGAACTGCCCCCTTACTAACCTTCACTTGCCCGGGTTTTGATTGTGGCTCAGGTTGCGACTGGAAACATGTTGACCCCTAGTAAGCACATCTGAGTTTCGCTGAATGGATCTAGGTTCGCAGGGGTTTAGTCTTAGCCTTGGATTCATAAAGGGGGAAGGCAGGTTTGGAGCATTGCGCGTCTCAATTTTTCAGGGGACCTTTCAGGAAATGGGTGATTTTCCTCGTGGTTTCCCCTTGTAAAACACCCCAAGGGTGGCCTCAAAAAAGGCTCACTCATCCGGACTCAAAGTCTAAGATGGTTTCACTCCCAAGCCACCAGAGGTTTATTGGGATATACAGTCACTCGCCAACATATAAAGGGTGTGTATATATATATATATATACACCCCCTACTCCAAATACCCTCTTTGTTTAGCGTATGATGTCGACCCTCTACCAAAAAAGAATCTATCTACCATGGAAACCCAGGGTTTTTTATAAAATACCCTGGAAAAAGTGGGTATTTGGAGTAGGGGGCATATATCCTAGTAGCTGCTGGGAATTGGCTTCGGTTTGTGGGTCGTGGGGATTCCATCTTAGACAAACCCTGGCCAGCCCGGGTCCGGCGGGGAGCTATGGGCGGGACGGAACTCAAGCGGGAGGAACGTCGGCATGTCCCGGCGCACAGCCTTATCTTCTATTGGGTTAAACATATATATATATTTATTTATTTATTGATTTATTCATGTATTTATTTATTTGTGTATTTTTGTTTTATTATTTATTTATGTTGATTTATTTATTTCCCCTTGTTGGTTTTAAAGGGAATCGATTTCACTACTGGAAATATGTTTATTTTTTCCACGGGGCTGAAGCAAATGGAAGCTTATCTACACGAAATTTGCTCCATTGGCACACAGAGGTTGCGGCTTTGGCCTTTTGGCCTTTTGGTTGATATTCAATGGAAGGGCCATCAAGGGTGTTTTGTTGCAGGAAGGTGTTTCGTGCATCCACCTCACGAGAGTCAAGCCGCGGCCAGGCTTGGCAAGAGGCAGGTGGACTTCATGAATCACATGGAAGAGCAGATGGAGCAGATGTGGGCGAAGCTCCATCTGCAAGAGTTTCCGCCCGCCAAATGGAAACCATCAGTATGTCTTGCCAAAGTGGCGATCGGTTCAATGGAAATCATCAGTATGTATTTCCCTTGGAACCTCCCGAAGTGGCGATCGGTTCAATCAAAATCATTAGTAAGTTTGTCAACTCTTGATTTTGGAAACCCCAGGCATTTCCTCATGCGAGCAAGATGAGAACAGCCTCGCCCGCGATTGTGAAGCGTGGGCTTTGGCTCAGCGTGCTGATGTCATGGACTTAAAGCACGCGCTGAGTACCAAGACGTGGGTGTGTGTTCTTGGAGGAAACCACTTTTTTTTGCGGTTCTCAAGGAAAAAACACAGTTTTGGTGGTTCTCTAGAAGAACAGACACATCCCTCCATTACGTTGATTTGCTCCGAAAGGCGCGTTTGCTTGGCATGTGCGCATGTGACCTCTACAGCAACGCACCGGGGGACCATTGAGCTGCGCAACAACCCTCCAGATGCATTTTGCAGGAGAGTTGGGCCTTTCTTGGTTGTCTTCTGGCGGGAAACTACATGGGAACCCACTTCTTTTCTGAACCACCAGCCAGAAGGTCTTAAGGTTACTTCGTTTGGGGGGAGGGTTGCCAGTTAGGAGATCTGAGGCCAGTTTTGTTCGAAGTTCCATGGTGAGACAGCCACAGCACCTACTATGTCCTTAACCTCCTTCTCCCCGCCAAAGGCATCTGAGGGATCCCCAAAATACTCCGCCTGGCCATGTATTCGGGTGGAATCGGGGCAGCCCTGTAAAAAGCAGGCGCCCCTTAGAAGCGAAGAAAAAACGAAGGAAACCTTTTAACACTAAGCCTTCAGAGATATGGCTGTGGTGGTCAAAAATAGGGTAACCCTAAAATGGAACCCTTGTTAATGGAAACATGGAAGAAAACTTGCGGTCCTTTGGTGGTCTAATTTTGACCCGTACCCATATTCCATTTTGGCACCTTTTAGTTCTTGACTGCTATTGGGTTGGATCTTTTGACTTTAACTTTTGGGTTGAAATCAAGTGGGGTGTTCCAGTGTTCCACTAAACCCACAAAAAGCGATTCACATTTTTTTGCAGAGGGGTCGACAGCACAGAATTTTGGACAGAGCTCCTCCGAGTTTTGCGGCGCGGCGTGACATGCCTGCGCCATGGGTATCCGGTGCGCCGCTCTCTGCACGGAGCGGGTGGTCTCCCCCCTGCTGGTGCTCACGATCCACGGCCTCATCGTGGCAGATGTGGCCTACTACCGCCAGGAGCTCTGGCACGAGGCGACGAACGAACATCGATTTGTCCTTTGTGGCTGTTTTGCTGGAAAAATAGATGGGTTCCGATTCCCGGTGGTCCTGGTGGTGCAAGACCGTCTACCAGGGAACCCATCTATTTTCCCTAAAAGGACACCTATGCGAACGAAGCCATCTGATCAGCGTGAAACTCCCTGAAAGAGAGTTGTTTTTTGTTTCTTAATAAATAGTGTCGCGTTCAGATTGCGGGTTGGCTTTCAGACGAGGTACCAACGCGGGCATTTCTTTGACAATGGCTAGCAACATACACGGTTTGGGATGTCATGGCATGTCAGCAAGCACAATGCGGCTGTGCCTTCTGCCAAGTGCTTGACAAGACTGTTGCTGGTAGTTCAAGATGGGGGAGACCATGCCGGGGGGGGGGGGGCATGCCTGATGTCCCTCCCCACTCACCAACATGAACCAGGATGTCTCAGAAACAAAGACGGAACCTGAGTGAGGCCCCTACAACTTGCTAGGGAGCCTTTCCTGTGGGCGGAGGAGGGGCCTGATGTCCCACTGACTAACATGAACCAGGATGTCTAGTAATCCTTAGTCCTGCAGAAAAAAAAACCGCCTCTTTTGATTCGTGGTTGTTTCAAGGATTTTGGAAAATCGGAGTCACTCCAATTTTGAAGTTTTGCCCACTTTGACCTTTCATCTTTCAGGGGTTCGCTGAAGCGGACTGCAGATGTCCCTTTCGCAGACAAGTGGGGAAGTGATGCCACCGTGACGAGGGGTTCTGACATATCATTGCATGGTTTACCGTTCAGTGAAACACAATCTAGGTCCCACTGGTGCCCTTTTACCAACTTTTTTTGCGGATGGTTCCCCTACAGGCCCTACTAAAATAGACGACAAGAAATGTGGGTACCCTTCTTCTAACCTCTCAAATCTGGAGGACCGAGACAATGAAACATAAATAACCTGGGCCGCTCCGCTGAGTTCCTCAAATTTCAGGCCAAGAACTGATGGACCTCCTGTGGATTTCCCTAACCTCTAACCTTCGAGGGGCCACCTGGGCGCGTTTTGACATGGCTGCCAGGGCAGATTTTGACACCCTTGACGCTCGTGGCATGACATGGAGGCTGCCAGGGCACCCCAAAATTGGGCCGGCATTGGTTGGTGTCCTCATTTGCTGGCACTTGACCAGACAGATCTCCACATCGGTGGCCTCACGTGGCTGTCTTTTGCTTGCCCATTTTGTTGAGGGGAGGGGATCTCCACGTGTTGGTCAAAATATGTAGCGTCTTCTCCAAGAAAGGGCACCTGGCCTTTTTGAACATGCTTTTGAGAGCCCCTTTTTCCAGGGGTGCCGAGGCATTGCCCCTTTTTGGCACCTCCAAAGGTGGATCAGTTTCAGTGGAGACTGTCCTTTGAGGCCCCACCCCTAGAAGAAGCAGATCGTCCGGTGGCTAGGTTACTTTTGAATGGGGGAAAAGAGCCTGAAACGTGGTTGGTGGACAATCCCCAGCATTTCGGGCCCCCAACTAGAATTCATACAGAAGTGAGTCTTTTCCTCAACTTTGAGACCCCGACCCCACAAAAAGTCGTCAGGTGATGTCCCAGAGACAAACGCGGAATCTGAGTGAGGCCCGTACAACTTCCTTACAGGGAGCCTCTCCGGCCTGAAAGATAATCCTTTGTCCTGCGAAGGGGCCCGACCCCGAAAGAGACAAATGGCCATGGTTCAAAACCAATGGGATCCCATTCTGGGGTTTTCGGTGCACCACCCATTTTAGAACCTATCTTAGTGGTTGGATTGGGATCTTCACTGGGGGTACGATTTGGGTTTTGCCCCCCATCCCCTTAGCCTTTTAGCATGTTAGTGTTTAGTGCTAGGATTTCCGAATTTAACCCGCTGAAAGTTTAGTCACTTTTAGCGGGGGATCCGAAAACGTGCAGCCCAGTTTCCTTATTTTGCCCCTAATAAGGCCTTATGTGGGGCCTTATTGGGGCTTTTTCCGCCCTTTTCCCTCCCCCCCAGCCCCAAATTTTCCACCTCGTCAGGTGAGTCTCTGGTACCGGTCACTTCGGCTTCTCGCGGTGGCCACGGTGGCGGTGTACCTCCGCACCTGTCTCACCAACCCCGGCTTCGTATCCTCGGCACATGCCAGAACCTCAGAGCTCCCCCGCGCGCAGAGCTCTCGCGAGAGCTCAACGTGCCAGGGTGGCAACGTGGGGTGAGAAAAGGCCTTCGGGCCTCTTGAAAGAGCTACCCTCCCACCGACTGTTCCATGGGAAGTGCAAAAAGGCCGACTAACCAAGAGGAAAGTCGTCTTTCTACAGGGGTCTATGCACTTCCATGTTAGCTGGTTGGAGGGTAGATGTGGTTTTGGAGCATTTTTTTGGAGCTGGTTTGGAATATTTGTGAACTGTTTGTGAATATAGTTGGATTGTTCATTGTTCATTTTGTTTTCGGATCATGTTTTGTTGTGAACTGGTTTTCTCTTTCTCGGCATGTTCTTCTCTATACCATTTTCATTGGGTTGTCCAAAGCGAATCGAGCTTTTGTTTCTGGGTGCCGTACGGGACTGGGCACCAGAGGTTCCAACTGGTCAAGGAACAAGTGGTCCAAACCACCCCCGAAACGGGCTGAAGGACAAGCTTTGCACATGGGTTTTTACCCGGAGTTTCAGGAGTTAGGTGTTTTTTTTCTTTTTCGTGCAAAAAGTGCGGCGGTGTGAAAGGCGGGAACTACGCGTTTGCTAGGACGAAGGTCCAGGTGGGGTTGAACGTTGCCCAAGGTTTCTCACACTTCTCGGGCCCACACGGAGTCAAACACTGCTGTTTTGTTGACGTTTCTTAGGCAATACGTACCTCTTTTTTGTGAGCCCGCAAGCCAACTTCCCTTCAGATGTGGATTTTGTAGCATCACCTGTCGGTTTCAGACTTGCACTGGGCCATCGGTTGTTTGCCGCCTGAACAGTTGGAAACCCCAAAAGGGCCTGTTCCCAAAAATGATCCATTTGGGCGGTGATTTGTTGCTTTCATGTTACTTCTCAGGCAGCAAAAAGGCCCAAAGTTGTGTGTTTCCAAACGGGCGCACGGGGACTTAATGGGGTTCCTCTGAAAATGATAGCTTCGCAGGTTCCTTACCACTTTTCAGGGGCAGTCTCGGCGGTTCTCCGCTAGACGGAGCCAAACAGAGGGCCCATCTATCCAAACAAAACCTTATCCCTGGACTGTATACTTTGGGGGGAAGACCCAGTGTCCAAGGACAAGTGTTGGCTGTTTTTTGCCAATCCACTCAGGAATTAGCAACAACACACTCGCACCCATTCTCTCCAATGTTTGTTGTGCCTTTGTTTTGTACGATCGTGTGACAACCGTTGAAAGGCCCACTTCCATTTGCTTAAGAACTTTTTAAATTTTGCCCTGCTGGCTTTAAAGGGAATCGATTTCACTAAGATCTATCTTTAATATGTTTTTTTTTTAAGCAGATGGAAGACCATGTTACCGGCCACCCCATGTTGCCGGCAACCGGCCACCGTCGCTGTCGACTCGAGTACTCGAGTACTCGAGTCGGCTTTCGAGCGAAGGCGACGGAAGCGCTCTGCAGCAGCAAGGGCTGCCTGCTGCTCTGCTGCGCCGCCTTCGTGTCCATGAGCGAGTGGAAGGATTGGAAGGCCCAGACGTGTCGCTCTCCGATTCGGCCGATTCGGAGCCAAAGCAGGGGGTGCTTCAGGAAAAAGATAAGGAGACATGGGCCAATTGGGGCGCGTTTGTTTGCGGATCCTCGCGGATTTGATGCTTCGCGGTTGGATAGGCATGGATAGGCTGTCCTCGTGTTTCTCTCGGTCAGCACTTGGCTTGGAAAGGCCAAGGAAAGTTTAACTCTTCGGGCGATGATTCAAGGCCTGTGTTGGGAAGCCCGGGCGTTTAGTAAAAGTGCCACTTGGGGCGCTTGTTCTGGTCGCTTGCTGGGTTTACCCATTACGGAAAACCACCCTTGCAAAACCAATGTAAGATTCCTGTTCCCATGACTACTTACTTTTAAGGGTTCCGTTGGCACAGAAACTGCTTAAACAAAGTTTTCCACCACCAGGGGCCTACTCAAAGCAGATACGGAATCCAGGTTTGATGCACGTAGTGGGTCTCTCCGCCGCTAATCTTGAAGTAACCGGATTTCATTGTTGCTCAATCCAAGAAGCGCAGCTGTCTGAAAGTGTACCCTATCCTAAAACAAGGCATCATGCCGCTTGGCTATGATCTTTGAAGGGGAACACCCTCCTAGATCAAAACTCATGCCTGCACCTTCGCGTCCAGGAAACACATTCTTGAGCTTGTCCAGGCCCCGTCATCCGCTGTTACTTCTCGTTGGAGTGCCCGAACGCCGAAGACCCCAGTCTACAGCCATCCCCACCGCCAAAATAGCGTCCAGGCCCTGCCAAGTCATCCGCTGTTACGCAGCAACAAGAGGCCCAGTGGATCCCAGTTACGCCGCAACCAGACGTTTTCCTTTTGGCTTTTAAAGGGTTTTGGTGGGTTGCCTACCATGCAGGGAAATGGAATCAGCACAAGCAATATAGGGCTGTAAGGCAGCATGTGGAATCTGAACTGGGCGGGAGCTGAACAGTGAAACGAATGCAATTCACCCATTGGAAGGCTGCGAAGTTGCCGACTCATCCAATGTGGCCGCCTTGGCCTGTAAGGTGTCATTGCTCCCAAATCGGGGAATCCCCCCAAACCAGTAATTGTTCCTTCGGTTGCCTCCCCCCCCCCCCCGAAGAAACAGAAAAAAACAACCTGAGAAAGATACCGCCCCATTTTTCAGTTGTTCAGTGGCTCCATTTTTTTCTTTTTTTGGGGGGGATGGCTGCCCCACTAAAATGGTCTTCCCAAAATAGGGTTCCCTTTTTTTCACCAGGGTCACTGAACAACTGAGATTTGTAGAAGATTCTAAAATGGCATTTGGGACAAACAGCTGAAGGACAAACAGCTGAGACGTGCTGGCTCCCTCTCAGCAGGATGTCAGCAGGTGTGCTTTACAGCCTTATATTGCTTGTGCTTAAGGTCAGGTTTCACTGGGTTTCCACTGGGTTCGTCTGAGTTCGAACACCAACCACAGGAACAGGAATTCTGTATGGCTATTTTGTAACGGATCTTTGGACTTGAACTTTTCGGTGCAAACAGTGGATTTCCGAATTGGACCCACAATGTGAAATACGCTTTTGCACGGGTTTCATTTCAGTATGTGTGTGTGGTTTGAATAACCAGATCAAAAAGGACAAGCCACTACTTTTTTTTCTTTTTTTTTGGGGGGGGGGGGTTATGGTCCAACCGCCAATGAGCTTCCCACTAACAATTAGGTTTGGAGTGGTGGTTTGGGGATTTGAACCCCTGGCTTATGTAGAGGGTAAATGGGGTTTACCACCCCTCAACCAAACCATCAGGCTCCAAACCACCAATTCGGGGTGGAGTGAGCCAAGAATACCATCCGTTTGCATAATAATATATTTGCTATTTCCCGTGTTGGTTTTCAAGGGGATCCATCAATACTGGATTTGTTTTTTCCTGGGCAGCTTCTGTAGATTTCCCCCACTTGGCCAGTCCAAGCGCGTGGTGCCTGAGCTGCTGGCATCCACGGCACCTCAGCTGAAAGTCTGAAAGCCCGGCGACGGCGGACGGGGTGTGGTTCTTGAGGTTTCCCTCTTTGAAGTTGGTGAAACGGGAAGCCGGCAAACAAACGACGCGTTTTGGGGGGTCCACGGTTTGGAGACTATGACATGTCCAGTTGTTCAGTGGCAACCTCTAAACCCCGTTTTGTTTGGTGGCTTCGGAAAAGGAGGTGAACACCAACTAGGCCCCCAGGAATTACCCCTTTGGGGAGGGTTCCCAAGAGTTCTGGTAACTCTAAATTGGTGGTTTGGATGGGTGTTTTTGGGATTTGAACCCGGGCGACTCTCTCCTGCGAACGGTGAAGTTGACTTGTGGTGCTGCATACGGGTGCCTGATGTTCCAAGAGTTGGCTGTCTGAACAAACTCGGACCAACAGGACTTGAACCTGCACCCTCCCGCAGTGAAGCCATCGCGCCATGTCCCCTAAGTCTTGTGAAGAGCAAATGGGACACCGTCCGGTTTTGAGCCGCGGCTTGGCCGATGCTGGTGGTTGGAAGGGAGCCAGACTCGGAGCTGGGGGTATACAAATTTGCAAAGTGGGAGCGGTTTGGGAGCTACCGATCGGAGTTCTGGTTAGAGACATGGTAGATGATCACTACTTCCATGAAGAAAATGTTCCATTTTTCCCCTGTTGTTTCTTGACTAGATCCTCCAGTAGAGAGGTTAGAACAAGGGCACCTTTTTTTTCTGTGTGAGAAAGGGCGCCAAAATCTGGGGGACCTTGGGGATCGATGGGCATCTTTTTTCTTTTTTTCCTGGAGACGCGAATCCGCCAAATGCGACGACTCGAGTTGGGCAAAACTCGTGGCGAGGCGGCGCCGAGTCCGGAAGCGGAGACCTCACTGGACCCGGAGACGGGGAAGCTGGAGATTGCGCCGTGGCTGACGGCGAGATCGGGCCCCACCCCTGGAAACTTGAAGTCAAAAAGGGCGCGGACAAGGGTCTGCCTGGCTAGTTGGGTTTTTTGTCTGGCTATTTGTGTTTTTTTCTGTGGGGTCAAAAAGGACAATCTTAAGAAAATACAAAAATGCATCAAAGTAAACACAGCCTATGTGTTTTGTTTTTGACCTTTTATTTAATGCATGGAACACATGGTATTTATGAATTATAATCGTTTGTTTTGCTGCACTCAACTGTTTTTGGATACAAACATTTATGTTTTTATGTATAAATGTGTAATGTATGTATCATCTGTATAGGAACCAATTTTGTACATATTACAAACTAACTTAAAAATTGAATAGTTGGTGCATGGCGGCTACATTGCACAAAATTACTGATATACTGTGGAAGTGTTGAAGTTGACCATTGCAAGACATATCAGCACATGCCTTGTCCTGGGCAAAGCTCATCACAAACCCACTGAGGATGCCTTTGGGGGTGACCATGGGGTGGCTGCTTCAAGGGGATTCATGATCACTTTTGGGGGTTGGCTTGGCACCATGTCTGTCAGAAGGGGTCGAGGACAGCAACTGCTGGCCAGGGCCTGGGGCATGCTGCTGAGGGGGCCAAGCTAGGGCACCGAAAGGTGCTTAGCACCGAAAGGTGCAATAATAAAATGCGCTGAAGGTGCAAAAATAGAATGCGCCGAAAGGTGCAATAATAAAATGCACCGTAAGGTGCTTAGCGCCGGTTAATAAGAAGCACCGAGAGGTGCAGGGCCCCGGTCCTTTGTCTTACGCACCGAAAGGTGCCTTATTGTTTCTTTCGGGGCACAGTGCACTTCTTTGATGATGGCAGGTTGTATACTAGAGGGTGTGCGCTTGACAGGTGTCTTGCCTCAAACAGGATTTCAAATTATATGGATGCTATTGCATAGCTGTCGGCGAAAAGGGCATTGTTTACAATATTGCTCATGAAACTTTATTGGTGGACATCCAAATTCCAACTCCTGGTCATCCAGGAGTTGGTGTCATCAACCAGGATTCCTGGTCATCCAGGAGTTGGTGTCATCAACCAGGATTTGGTATCACCAACTTTGTTAGTCGGGACGTCTCATGCTGGACAGCCAGGACGCCAACACTTGGCTATCCATATCATCAACTGTTGTAGCGGGGGTGCTTGGTGTTGACATGGGGGGAATTTGGTTATTGGGTTGACTCATTCTGGACAGCCAGGATTTTAAGTCCTGGTCATGGATGGCAGTTGCAGTTCTAGCACGTTGCAATAGTGTTGGAATAACTCTCGGCTGTTGGTCTCGAATCCAGCAGTCGCAAACAACATCACAGATTCTGTGGTGGCAGGTGGGCTCGACTCGAGCATTGGTCAAACCACTGACTGTCTATTGTCCCAACCTCAACCCCTACCGTTCCCCCCCCCTCCTTAAACCTACACCACCTCCGCCCGCACAGAGGTTAATGTTGGAATTCACTTTGACCTATGCCTCAAGTGTCAAGTGCGCTAGCGAACGTGGCCTGGTTCATCAGAGCCTGCGCAAGCCAGGGGGAAAGAAAACGAGGGTGTCAGGTGGCTTGAAGTTGGTGACAAACCAGCGGTCGGAGCTCAAGCTAAGGAGCTGACAGTGCTCAGGAAGACCCATGCCTGGGCCAACCACCAAGCTTTAAGCTTTGTGACAGAATCAGAACATCGGCGCATACCTTTTGAGTGCTTCACAGCCTCCTCACCTCACAGCCAGTCAAAGTTTTGCACATGCACTTGTCCATGATACTAGCCATAAGACATCCAAGAAACACATAACGAACATTTCTTCTGCAAACTTTGTCAGCGCAGTGAAAAGGCGGCTCAAGGTGAACACTGTACAGAAGCCAGGTCAGAGTCACTGGCAGGGTCATCACCTGCCATTAATGCTGTGCGAGGACGCTGCCAGCGGACAAGGTAAGCTCGCCTCCGGGGTCCGGGTCTTGTTCTCATCGTCACTCGACCGCCGCTCTGCATCTACTCCCAGACGACGATCGATTCTGCCTGGCAAAGAGCATGAAACGGTTGCACTTACCCAGCGCCGGCCTCCCAGTCAGACAATCGCCTCTGGACTCTTACAGGTTTTGGCTTGCTGCTGGATGACACCTGCGCAACTGGCGAATGAGACACCCGAGAAGTGGCACATGTCAGCGTTCGCATGCTTGGGCCCTGGGGCCCTGGCCCTTGGGCCAGTGCCAGCTCGAGCTGCTGCAGCGCCTGCAGAGTCAGGAGCAGCTCTCATAATGACAGCAATGTGCGCCAAAGCACATGCAACAATGGCAGCAAAGCACACTGGACACCCAGGTGCCTTTCGTCTTGCCATCAGCCTTTGTTGCCTCAGTATGACCAGCAGTAACTTAACCTTAAACTGACTTGTTTCTGCTGTAGACTTGCGCATGTTATCATCCCAGCCTGCTTTGGCTCAGATGGGGCTGAGGCTGCCAGAGCACCTGCTTTTTCAACGCAATGAAAAGGCCAAACCAACGTAAACAATCTCATCGTGGCAAAACAAGGTGACAAGGCCTTTCTTAGTCTTGCCAGCAGCCTTTGTTGCCTGTGGCTGAGTGTGGTGACCAGACGTCTCAGACAGCAGCTGCCCTTGACCAGCCTGTGCTGCCGCGGGCTTTTTGAGCACTTTTGCATGTTTGGAGTTGCCTGTCAGTCAGACTGATTCCAGCAGCGCGCTGGGCACAGTGTCAAAAGGCAGGCCTCGAAGTGGAGCAGGACGCTTTGTCCCCTGGCAACTGCAGTGCTCATACAAAACTGCCACCAGGACTCAATGTGAATCACGACCCGGCCTTTGATGGCCTAGCTGATGGCGATGATGAGGATGATGATGAGCCGGAGTCAAGCGACGAGCTGGACGACGAGTCCGCCTGGCACAGGAACTTCTCCTCCAGGACCGCTGCCTTGGTTTCTGCTGCTTCCCGCAGCCCTTTCTCTCGGGTCAGCACCGTCCTGGCCCTCTCCACATGGCGCTCAAGGTTGCGGGATGCCAAGATGTCCTGCTGCTTAATCTTCTGCTCCAGTTGGCACGCCGTCTTCTGGTTGTCAACCAGCCTGCCCTGGAGGTCCACCAGGCCAGCTTGCAGCTGTTTCTGGGTGTGGCGGCTGTCTTCCAGCTGTTTTTCAAGCTGCTTTGCCTTTTGCTGCTCTGCCCGCAGCTTTAGCTTTGCTTCCTGTTCTTCTGCCAGCTGTTTTTCTAGCTGCTTTGCCTTTTGTTGTTCTGCCCACAGCTTTTGCTTTGCTTCTCGATCTTTCTGCCTGCGATCATAGCTGGGACCATCATGGCGCGGCATGTGAATCTTACCTTGAAAGTTGAATCACAAACTGTTACCGTTCTGATGGCGATCAGTGATAGGAACGCTCAAGGTGATGCGTCGCAGTGATGCGTGATTCATGGCAGAGTGTGTGCCAGTGTCATGTCTAATATGCCATGCCAAGTGACACGACTTCAGCAGCTGCAGCCAACGGTTGCTACACACACACACACAGACGCACTCATGCCATGCGCGCACACACACACACGCACCAGACTCAGACTAACTTCCTGACTCAATGTCAACTCAGGTACCAGCTGGTGTCAGTCGGCCACTGCATCAGGTCCGCCTCAGCCCCGCAGCTGGACACACACACAACAGCCGAAAGAAGTGCCCCCAGTGACCCACCCGTAACCTTCACATTGCACAAAGATTGAAAGCTAAACCTGGCCTGTGAGCCGTGCTGGAGTTGTCCGGAGCCTGACAGAGCGTCGTCGGACTGACTGACTCTGAATAGAACAGCAGTCCACAGTTATCATCCTGATGAGGACAGCTCGACAAGTGCCAATAAGGACACATCCAAGTTCCGCAGATGGATGATGGATGAAGGATTGTGACATCTGAGTAATTAATGGGCTGGTGATCTATTCAAGGGATGAGCCAGCAAAATCTCCCAGTTTGTCTTATGCTGAACATTGCAAGTTCTTCTCAGCCCTGAGATAGCCAGGGCTGGGAACCCAAGACCTGGAAGCCAGGACTTGGAGTCAATGGCTGCCCTGCCTCGCCTGGCCCCCACGATGAGCACCTCAGGCAACAACGCACAGTGCTCAAAGCAGACGCAGATTCGATGTTCAACATCATGATGCAAACTATGATAATTGCAAAAGCAAAAGGCGCAAAGCGCAATTGTTGCTCATGATGTCATGGCTGCTGTCGGCACTTAGCCTCACTCACTCAGGCTTCGTGATTCGATTAGAAGCACTGACGTCGGTCAGCAAAAGCTTCAATTACGGGACCAGCCAGACATTGAATCCATTCCAGAGGAATATTATTCTCAAGAGCGGCCTTCAAGCTTCTCCCACTAAAGCGATCCCTGAGCGCTGGCTGGTCAAAACTTGTGGCCTTTAGCCACCCTCACGCCCAAGTCCAACCAGTGGACTCGGAAGGCTCGGCATTGCCAGCTGGGTCGCCAGCAGACTTCGAGGCATAGCCACCCTCAGGCTCGGGTTCCGAAGGTTCGGCATCATTGCCAAGACTAAGAAACTGCCAGCCCGTCAGGTTCGGATTCAGCTGAGGAAGGCCAACGATGGCGTACTCCAGGTCCTGGGCGAAAGCGAACGCTTTCACAGCCTAATTTTCAAAGCTGACGCGCCGCTTGCTGACTAGAAGCATCAGGGCTTTGGAGGCTTTGCAGTGACTCCAAGTAGTAGGCGCCAGCCTTGGAGTGTCACTGCTAAGCCCCCTGAATTCAGTCAGTTTAACGCCAACCACATCTGAACTTAATGACGTCAAGCCAAGCAGCGTATGTGAGGCTTCGTGGTGACTGAGGCGCCTCTTCCCAGATTCCATTGGTTCGCAGGATAAACAGGTGCTTATCCGTCGACCATGCCGGCCAGCCGGTGCAATGAAAGTCCCTGATATAGAGATGCCGGCGGTCACCGCTCACTTCCCTGGGCTCTCTGGCAAAAAAAAGTCTTAAGGACCAAAAA